TCCCGTGCAGCCTCAGAGTCGGGAAACGAGAGGAGCAGGCCGTAAACGCAGCCCTCGGCCTGCCGCTCCTTAGGGTAACAGCCAAGGTGAATGATCAGCCCCTGAAATTCATCGTGGATACTGGCGCTGGTGTATCCCTGGTTCCACCCTCCTATGTGAATGGAACTATAATCCACCCGTCCGCTGTTTCGATCACGACTGCCAGCGGGCAGCCACTGCGCGTGCATGGCGAGGCCACTCTCGATATTGTCCTCCCCACACTCAGACGCAGTTACACATGGACATTTGTAGTGGCTGAAGTGACAGAGCCACTACTCGGTAACGATTTTCTCGCTCACAACTCGTTGGTTGTCGATTGTGGTTCCCAAGTTCTCCGCGACTCCACCACTCTGCTCTCTGCTCCCGGTGTACCGACGACCGGGGAGTCTGTTCATTTGGTGATAAATGATCTCGCTCAGGTGCCTGAGGCAGTGCGGCCCATCCTAGAGGATCACCCCGCTGTTCTCAGCCCTAACCAGCCGGATTACACAGACTCGCCAATCAAAACCACTCACTTCATCGACACCGGCAGCGCTCCACCCACGTTCGCCAGCCCACGCAAGCTGCCGCCCGACAAACTAACCGCAGCAAAGCAAGCACTCGATGTGCTGCTCAAAACAGGAGTGATTCGTCCGTCTAGGTCCCCGTGGGCCTCACCCATCCACATGGTTCCGAAGAGTACTCCTGGTGAGTGGCGTGTCACCGGTGATTACCGCGCGCTCAACGCCGTAACCAAACCGGACCGCTACCCACTGCCGCACATTCAGAGCCTCTCAACCAAGCTCCACAACGCTCAGTGGTTCAGCAAAATCGATCTGCTCCGTGCATATCACCAGGTGCCTATGAACCCCGCTGACTCAGAGAAGACGGCCGTCACCACGCCCTTCGGCTTGTACGAATACGCCTTCATTCCAATGGGGCTTCGCAACGCAGGTGCCACATTCCAGAGGGTCATGGACGGCATCTTCCGAGACGTGCCGTGCGTATTCGTCTATCTTGACGATATCCTGGTATTTTCCGAGAACCAGGAGCAGCATGAGAAAGATTTGCGCCTCGTGTTCAGCAAGCTGGCTGAGCACAAGCTTCGCATCTCACTGGAGAAATGCGAGTTCATGAAGAAGTCACTCATTTTCCTCGGTCATGACGTCACCAGCACAGGTGTCACACCTCCCAAGGCCAGAGTGAAGGAGATTCTGGACCTCCCTCTACCGCATGACTCAGAGTCACTGCGTCGCTATCTGGGACTCATCGGCTTCTACCGGCGTATGATTCCGCGATTCGCCGATGTCACGTTCCACCTGACCGAACTGATTCGACTCAACCCAAAAAGCAAAGAACTGACGTGGACAGAGGAACAGACTCAGGCGTTCAGTGACAGTAAAGCAGCGCTGGCTGGCGCCTGCACTCTGCCACACCCAGTGCCACACTGCGAGCAGTACGAACTCGTTACTGACGCATCACAAGTCGCGGTGGGTGCCGCGCTCCATCAGATTGTGGACGGAGTACCCGTTCCCATTGGCTTCTTCTCACGGAAGCTCAGTCAGGCCCAACAGAAGTACGCCGCGTATGACAGAGAGCTACTCGCGGCTTATCTGGCCACACTCCATTTTCGTGACATGATCGAAGGCCGCCACGTTACCCTGCGAACGGACCACAAGCCACTCGTGCGCGCTTCTCACAGCCCGCACACTGCTAAGTCTGACCGCCAACAGCGCCACTGGTGTGTCGTCACGGAATACATCACGGAGGTCTCGTACATTCGTGGCAGTGACAACGTGGTGGCGGACTGCCTCAGTCGCCCGGTAAATGCAGTGTCCCTCGATGCATGTGACCTCCATTTCATCGCGGCGGCTCAGAAACAGGAAAAGGAGAGAGACGCCGACAGTGCCGAGTCAGAGCACCAGCATGCCGAGTCAGGTTCAGAATCGCGCTCAAAGCCGCAGGACTCATCCCGATTGGAGCCAGTAACACTGTCTGGCGACATCACAGTCCTGTGTGAAAACACTGGACCACATCCACGCCCGTACGTACCAGAGGCGTGCAGGCGCGCCGTGTTTGATCGTTTCCACGGCCTGTCACACCCGGGTAGGAAAGGCACCACCCGTCTCATCAGCTCTCGCTATTTCTGGCATGATATGCGCCGTGACATTGCGCGATGGGCGAAGGAGTGTGAAGCATGCCAGGAAGCCAAGGTGCACAGGCACACTCGTTCTCCTCCCGGTCGATTTGATGTGCCCTCGCAGCGGTTCGAAACTGTACATATAGACATAGTCGGGCCGCTGCCCCCGTCAGTACCCCACGGGCACCCCTTCACCGCGCCATTTCGTTATTTGTTGACATGCATCGATCGCGCCACGCGTTGGGTCGAGGCCGTGCCGTTGGTCTCGATCACCGCGGAAAGTGTAGCCTCTGCTTTCCTCGACACTTGGGTGTCCCGATTCGGAGTTCCGCTGCATGTTGTCACAGACCGCGGTTCCCAATTCGAATCAGAACTGTTTTCACACTTGTCTTCAATGATAGGTTTCCATCGCCTCCGAACCACTGCTTATCATCCGACATGTAATGGGATGGTGGAAAGAGTCCACCGAACGCTCAAAGCTGCCATCCGGGCGCGCAAGCAAGAGTGGCTGCGCGCGCTACCAGTAGTTTTGCTAGGTATAAGAGCTATGCCAGCAGGGTCAGGTTTTTCGGCATTCACTGCCGTCACAGGCGCGCAGGTGCTGTTTCCCCGCTGCGCCGTCGAGAAGGTCCCCGTCGGGACAAAGTACGTCCAAGAACTGGCAAAGCGTATGTCAGAAATCGATTTCGTCACACTCTCACAGGGCTCGAACCACGCCCGCACACCACCGACACACGTGCCACCCGATCTCATGACATGCACACACGTGTGGGTACGCGTTGACCGCGTGCGGCACTCTCTGGAGTCCCCGTACCGCGGCCCCATGCGAGTCATCAGACGCAGCCCTAAAGTGTTCACGTTGGAGCTGCCGACTGGCGCCCACGACACTGTAAGCGTTGACAGACTCAAACCGGCACACATGCCGCCACCTGAGGACACGCTTGGTCCGAGCAGTACCGAGCCTGCGGCTCCGGAGCAGCAGCCGTCACCGTCGACCTCGCTCGGGTCCCTCGCCACTGGGGCGCCCGACGAGCCGACACCGACGCCAACGACTACAAGACCGTCCAGCAAGAGGACTTCAAAACCTGGAGTGACGTCTTCCGCATCGCCGGCCAAGGACGACAAGCCGTCCGCGGCTGCGCCGGTGCACACCCGCAGCGGCCGCCGCGTGCAGTTCCGGCCGCAACCGGACTTCCGATACTTTTGAGTGCGCCCGCGTACGTGCGTTCGAGGACGATCCTGATCGCGTGGCGCCGACAGTGAAGTGATAACTGCGTCGCGCGGTGTAGTGATTCTTGCGTCGCGCAGGACCGTGCAGTGACAATTGCGTTGCGCCGTACCGTGTAGTGATTATTGCGTCGCGCAGTGAAGTGTCGATCGCGTCGCGCACCGAGTGATGTGAAAAGTGATTGTTTTGGCTTATCGTGTATGCGCTCCGCGCTGAGGCGGTGAGTACTGTGGTAACCACGTGTGTCGCCGGCCGGCACGGGAGTTCCCGGCGCAGACCGATTCGCGCGCCGACTTGTGACGTCGCTACCCCGCCCCGGCGCTGGGGAGGCGGCCCAGGACGTGTCTGTTCGTGAACTTTGTCCCATCACGATGCGACCGCGTGTCTGCGGCCTGCGCTGCCGCAGTGCGTCGGCCAGTGACCAATCCGCGCTCCGATCGGCAGCCACGTGGTGTCCGAGTGCTTCTGCGCATGTCTGGACCCGGCCCGCTGCGTCGGGCCGCGCGCTACCCCGGGACTTCTGGCCGAGCTCTTGGCCCGAGCAGACGCGTCACGTCTGGCTCCGCGATTTGGCCCGTTCTGTCCGGGATTTATAACTTAGATTAGGCAGGGCATATTTGGCAAACTTGGATTTCATTCTCGTCTCCTCGTCGCTCCATTGTCTGATTCGCTGTTTTGGTTTTTGACTTCGTTTTGGTAATTTAAATATAACAACCCGCTCTTTTAATTAATTCTTTTACTTGGGGCCGTTTGGATCGAACTGATTGAATTTTTGGAACACGCACCAGGTTGATATTCTCCATTTCTGATTAACGTAAAATCCAGTCACTGATATGTGGTGAACTGCCCCACAGCACCACAACCAAATTACTACCGGTAATCTCGGAAAATTATCCCTCATTTTCGAGATGCCGAACGCAGGCTATTTCGTATGTTGCGACGATTGCGACAATTGCGACACATTCCTAGCGAATAACCCAGGCCCATGTCGTCCCCTATCTCTCTGCGTGTCCACTAACACGAATGACGTCACGCATGTGGGCGGAGCTATGGGCGGAGCCTAACGCACGCGGCAGTCCAAGCCGCCATATTTGAATTTATATTTTAATAGAATCTTGCCGATATTTTGGGTAAAGTCAATTTATATGGATAGCTTGGTGACAGTTTAGCTATACGAATAATAATTTATTATGGATGTGCGTATATTCAGCTTGGAATTGCAATTAAAGTTCCGCACCGCATAGATTCGAACTCGGGACCTTTGGAATACTGCGCGGGCACGCTAACCACTACACTACCGCGACCGCGCGGCGGCCGGCGGCAGGGAGGCTGCGGAGACATGGGGGGACATTTTACGCTTTTGTGAAAAAAGCAAAAGATTTAGCGAAAAACACGTAATAGATAACTTGCAGAAAATTGTCTGCTCTTTCAGATAAGATACTTAGGTTTGATATATCTTGTGCAGACTTCATTCTACAGTGCTTCGAAAATCGCTCATTTACATGGGGATTGAACGGGGCTTCGAGACTTGACTCCAAATGACGTCACGAGCTGACGTCACGAAAAGGTAGAATCGCCGGACGACCCTACCTGGTATATAGGGCCTTGGAATAACCAATATACCCTGGCGAATAACGGCCTTGCATAATGCATATAGTAGCGGATGGGTTTTGATTGTGTTGTAAGTTGTTATGTTCATTGTTCTTGCTGTGAGTATTTCAGAAAGATTACTATTATATATCATTATAGCCTATTTTGTGTTGATATTTTAATGGTGCAGGTAGTTACTTTTTAGGATTTATAATATAGATCTGGCCGGAGGGAGCGAAGGGAGTGTCTTTTCGCAGTGTGGTGCATCGAGCTCCTACTCAAAAGACCTGAAGAACGGTATGAGATCAAGATTTCAATTTGCTTGCTTAAAAATTAATCTTGCTAAATAAAAATCAAGATACATATCTGGTGAACATCTTCAGGCCTCAACACTGCATGCAGCTTACTCACCTGGTTGGGAGTTCTTGTCTGTCCATGCATGTTCATGTTGTCCGTCCTTCGCATGTCCATGTTGTCCGTCCTTAGCATGTTTATGCTGTCCGTTCCATGCACGTCAGTGTGTCTGTCCTAGCCAGGAGTGGATCTGAACTTCCGGCGACACCTGCTCGTATCTGCCTGTGGACTGCCAGTGCCTCAGCTGTATATACGCCTAGTTGTTTGCTGGACCACAGCTCACACATATTGCTGACTGCTGTGCTCGTATACTTCAAGAATGCCTGTCTCAAGATCCCCACTGCCAAACCGTAAGTCAGATCAGCAGAGGGTCAGCACACGATCTACCTCCTGCACTTCAGATACCCAAACACCAGTTAAGCCTGACATGGATGCACCGCTACAGCACAACATCCAGACCTCACAGCCCATTGACTCAACCCCACAATCACAACAAACAAAGATAAACCCATCTTCAGGGGAAGAATCTCTTGGCACAGTAGCGGCTGCTATTATGACCCTTCCACTTCAGGTTGGCACACTTGTGTCCCCCACCATAGCTCGGCACCCAGCTGATGCAAGTGTCATATGTGGAGGGGGACCAGGAAATCCAACATGCAATCTTGAAGTTAAGGACAACCAACAAGGGGCAAAATGTGACATATGCCAAAGCTGGTTCCATGCTCTGTGCCAAGACATCTCAAAAAGTGCGTACAATGCTCTGAAGAAGCATGATGTTGTTTCATTCATTTGCAGCATGTGCAAAAGAATGCCAAACCTGGACAAATTCCAGCCAAGAGCACCCATGAAGGACGCAGCCACACAGGCCTCGCAGGACGAGGGCGTCACAAGCACCCTGCTGACGCCATCTCTGCAGCTGGACTCTGGATGTGAAAGCGTGACCACTGAAGGTTTGTCCGATATCGGCGCCTTGTCACAGCTGTTCAGGAAAGTTGACAGTCTGGAAAAAACTCTCAAGACCCACATCACTGATATGTCTAACCAGATACAGGCACTCAACAGCAACACCCATTCTCAAATCAGAGAGTCTCCCCACACAGAAAGGGAAGGTACTGGGCACACATATGCAGAAGCGCTGACAGGAATTTCTAGAATTTCTAGGGTTCCAAGGCAGGGTCCTGCAGCCCACACACTGACCCAGGAAATGTCAACAAGCCACCAACCCCAGTCGAACCATCAGCACCACCACACCCAGGAGTACAGGATGATGGTTCGAGAGGAGCTGTTAGAGCTGGATGAACGGAAGAAGAGGAGGTCGTCTCTTGTGATCAGGGGACTAAGGGCAGCATCAACTGCAGAAGCTACTGCAAAATTTGCGGAGGTCACTGAATCTCTGATTGGGGAGAAAGTCGTCCTCTCTGAAACAGGTCGTATCAAGAACAACGCCGACCTGTACCGCGGGAACGTTCACAACAATCGTCAGAGGAAGATCATCCTGGAGCAGGCGAAGACGCTCAAAGACTCTCCCTTCTCTCACGTTTACATAAATAAGGATCTCACCTACCTCCAGCGAATGGAGATCCAGGCCAGATACCGGGAGTACCAGACGAGACCCAAGACCACCATCACGATTCCAGTCCCTGGACAGCCTCGGCGCATGTCTTCTCCTCCGTCCAGCCCTGCACCAGCGGATGGCTCGTCTGGAGGTGACAGATCCGTGGGTGGTCCAGCCCATTTGGAACCCACCCCGCCCACCACAGAACGACCAACGGAACCTTCGGCAGAAGCTCCTTCACAGCCGCGAGATGACCACCCTACGACCGATGCCGACTCTGATGCCGTCTCCACGTCCGCCGGCTCTAACATCTCGGCCAGGGACAATGTCACAGGTTCTGATCCTCCACTGAACGGACCCGCACAGGGCGAAAGCCCACCCGACGCTCCCTCTGATCGCGCTCAGCTGGGAAACTGAGGCAGAATGAAAAAACGTCGCACACGTACCCCATTAGCATTGTACATTGTAACGTGAACGGGCTCTGCAGCAAGATAGCTTCTCTCCAAGACACACTTCAGCTTGATTCTTCAACGGACATCTTCCTGGTTTCTGAGACGCATCTTACAGCGGAGGTTTCCGACGCAGCAATTCAAATTCCGGGGTACAAGCTCACGCGAAATGACAGCGGAACGACCAAAGCTCACGGAGTGGCGGCTTATGTGGCTGAACATCTTCAAATCGACAATGTCAACGCTTCATTCCGCAATGTCTTGTCATTCCGCATGACCAGGTTCGACACATACATTTACGTGGTGTACAGGCCCCCTTCATACTCAGCTGCTGACAATGACTGCCTCCAATCATTTCTCACAAGTAGCTGCATCGACAAGGAAGCCGTGCTCCTAGGCGATTTCAATCTCCCCACTATAGATTGGAGCTCACCTGACGACCCGACGAGACACGCCTCAGCATCTGACACCCGATTCAGCAACTTGTTCGATCTGCTCGGCTTGACGCAGTGGGTCACGGAGCCCACATTCCCACGCTCGGGGAACATTCTTGACTTGATCTTAACAAACGAGAACGATCGAATGGGGCTGGTGTCGGTCCAAGCTCCTCCTCCTGGCTGTGACCACTGCAGCATCCACTGTCAGTACTTCTTTGATGTTGAAATCGCATTGCAACACACCTCGCTCCATCACCTCTTATGGGAAAGAGGGAGATATGGAGACATGAATGCCATCTTGGCAGACATAGACTGGGATTTCGAATTCCAATTCCTCACTGCGCAAGAAGCACTCAAGAGATTGATGGACATCTTGTGCCCACTGATATCTCAACTGATACCAACTGCCAAGCAAGGAAAGGCTCGCCGGGTCCCATGGAAAACCAACCCACCTTCTTCGCTCAAACGTCGACGAGCATCCACCTGGTCAGCATACAAACAAGCCCGAGAATCCTACGGCAAGCAAGCGCCAACAACCCGATCACGACTGAATGATTTCTTAGGCGTAAATAAACAACTCCGCAACTTTGCCGTTCGCTCGCAGATCGACTACGAGAAGACTCTCTTGTCTAAGTTGAAGGAAAGCCCGAAACTGCTCCATGCCTATCTGCGCCACAAGAAACAATGCAGGTCATCAGTCGGACCGCTGAAGGCGCCTTCGGGATCGATCATCGACGACCCGAAGTCGATGGCAGATGTTTTTGTTGAGGCGTTTGCTGAAACGTTCTCCAATCAGGATCTACCCAACCCAGCTTCTCACCAGTCATGTGACGCGATACTTGAACATGTTGAGTTCACAGTAGAAGACGTCAGGACAATACTCTCCCAACTGTGCGTCAACTCCGCCATGGGGCCGGATGGTCTTCACCCTCATCTGCTAAAGGCTTGCGCTTCGAAGCTAGCACAACCACTGCACCGGATCTTCAAGCTGTCACTGTCAGAGGGAGTCTTGCCTGCTCTCTGGAAACTGTCACACGTTGTGCCCATCTACAAGAAGGGGTGTCGTCTCGACCCCCTTAACTATCGCCCAGTGAGCCTCCTATCAGTACCATCCAAGTGCCTGTAACGTCTGATCTATCGTGAACTGCGCGATTTCCTGACAGAAAACTCAATTCTTGCAGACGAACAGTTCGGATTCAGGTCGGGACGATCAACCGAAGACCAGCTTCTTCTCACTTATGACTATATATCAAAGCAGTGGGATGACGGGCACATCGTAGACCTGATTCTATATGATTTCTCCAAGGCCTTTGACACAGTGAGCCATGTCGTCCTCATCGAGAAGCTCAGGTGCATCGGTCTTCGAGGAACCATTCTGACATGGCTGCAAGAATTCCTCACGAACCGTACCATGCGGGTGGTGGTGAAGAGCACCCTGAGCACCCCAAGAAGTGTGCGCAGTGGCGTGCCGCAAGGCTCCATCCTGGGACCAGCGCTCTTCCTTATCTATATAAACCATCTAGCGACCCAGCTCAGGTGCCAGTACAAGATTTTTGCGGACGACTTGAAGGTATACATGTGCATCACCAAACCTGAGATCGACATGTCGAATTTTCAGTCTGATGTCGACGTACTGCACACAACCGCATCATCATGGGGCCTGAGCATGAACCTGAAGAAATGCGCCGTCATGAGGTTCCAGAGACGATTCCATGCGCCGCTGAGACCCACCTATTTCTTGCAGGACGAACTGCTTCCCTGGACACACTCCCATGTGGACCTGGGAGTCACTGTCGATGACGACCTGAAGTTCCATGGGCAAGCAAGAGGTGCAGCAAGGAAGGCGGGTGGCGTTGCCCACAACTTTCTGAGAGCTACCCTCTGTAGAAAGCCGGACTTCATGGTTCATGTCCTCAGTACACATATACGCCCTGTCCTTGAGTACGCGTCGGTGGTGTGGAACACTGGTTTTGTTGAAGACTCTAAGAGACTCGAGGCAGTGCAAAGACTCTGGACTCGTCACGTCAGGGACCTGAAGGACAAGACCTACGAAGAGCGGCTCAGATCACTCAACCTGTACTCTGTCAAGGGACGCCTACTGCGGGCAGATCTGATAAAATGCTGGAAAATATTCAGAGGACGTTGTCCGATAAAACCGGCAGATCTCTGGGACATTGCAACCGACCATCGCACCCGAGGCAACATGTACAAGATCAAGACTCGTCGCTGTCAGCTCGATACCAGGGCGCGTTTCTTCTCGGAGAGAGTTGTCAGCGAATGGAACTCTCTACCCAATCAGGTCGTTAACTCGGAATCCATATCCGAATTTAAGACAAGCCTGGCAGAAGCTCTAGGCAGCCGACTGTTTGAATATGACGCATGAGGGCGTCACGGTGGAAGCTTCAAGCAAGTAGTCCACCATGTGAAGCTCATCGAGTCCAGGCAGACAACGAGCAATGTCTCAATTAAATCCTGTGTCACATTCCCGAATATCTGTTAGCAGACGCACTATTCCAGCTCTCACGTGTACCTTACTCCATCTTACCGTGGGAGTATTGGCGCGTCTCTGCCATTCTTGGTTTCCTTCCCATCCCCATGCATTGGACGGGACGTGGAAACCTAACAGGTGAGTCTAACAGGTGAGTCAATATATATTAAAGATAATTGTCGCATGTTTTCGGAACAAGATGTACCTATTGGCAATTGGCATGGAAAAAGGCTTACATGCTTGAATTTTCTATTATGCACCAGCACCAGGTCACCAGCAAATGTCATTGCTAATGTCCTTAGCAAAAATAATTCAAGAAGTAAACTATATCTTGATAAGATCAAGATGGCCTCCTCTGTCAACTTAATACATTTTTTACATCAAAACTATGTTTTCTATCAATATTGATCATTTTCTGATGCTTCAATGTTAAGATCCAACTTCAGGACACAAAAAAGGTAGATACCTATATCATCATTGTTGATATGTCAACATTGGAACACCATACAAACAACGGCCATAATGAAGCTGGCCATAGTAAAAGCTGGTTTCTTCTTCTTGCACCAGGTGGCAGCACTTCTTTTCCAAAATCAGTGCTTATATTTCCAAAATCGTGATTTCCTCTCTGAGGAGTGATATCAATATCGGTCTTATCATTGCCAAAAATAGCAAAATTGACATCCAAAAATAGCATGTGCTAAAAATGACTGATTGACCAATCCTCCCTCGACTGCTATCAGTCAGTGAAAGAATGAAGCTGGATGAAGAGTACTGCCTACATTAGCGTCGCCACGGGGGGGCAAGCGGGGCAGCTTGCCCCCCCAACCTCGGACCGGGCACCCCCTGAGATCGATACAGATCCGATGAGATTTTGGAGTCGGGAAAAAATGGGGGTACCTTTCTGAGAATGCCTGTGAGGTCAGACTCGGTTGGAGCGTGCAGTTCAAACCAGAGTCTGACTCGCAGTCGCCAAAATCTTCAAGACTCCGAGTCCAGACTCGGAAATGTCAATGCTGTGGTTCATTCCATGTTCCTAGTTCGTTCTTTATTATATTTTACAGCTGATTTTCATAAGTTTTGGAGTGCTGACACATTTGTTCAAAGCGTGAAACGAAATCTTCGGAGCCTTTCTCAACTCTCGTCAAATGTCTGCGACAGGCTCAAGTACCGTACAAGTGTCGCAGGGCTCATGAGCTTGCTTTAAACAAAGGCTCCTAAGGAGCTCCACTGAGCCTTAAAGAAGCTTTCAGAGGGCCCAAACCGGCCTCTGAAAGTCCCACTGGTGTCCATGTTCTCTGAGGGCCCATACAGGGATCTTTGAGCCTTCGAACATTTCTGAGAAACTTAACTGGCCTCTGATAGTTCAGCCAAACTTTTGAGGCGACAGATTTTGCAACCCCAAGCCGGCATCTGAGGGGTCACAGCTCACGTGTCCCTCTGAGGTCCGCAACACATGTTTATTATGTCCCTACGTAAGGTCCTTAGGGATTCGACACAGACCCCGAGGGTTCACACTGTTATCCGAGGGCTCTCAGCTCACCCTGGGCCTAGTCTCTTAGCGCCCGCCGCCCACACTGGCTTCTGAGGGCCCCACCTTGGGCTCGGAAAGCCCTAAAGCACCACGTACACGTAAATATTTGAGGTGACCCACGCCGATCTCCGGGATCCTAGGCATGCTTCTGAGAGTCAGCACTGACCCTGAGTGGCCTGAAATGGCCTGAAAGTCCCAAACCTATCTCTAAGGGATCCCTTGCCGCTATGCCGTGCGTAACTTTTGGTTCCGTTTAACAGTTTTTGTTCGCGTTTGCAGCGCTTCCCTTCACACGAAAAACGAGAAACTTTTGTTCACACTCGAGTGAACAAAACACCTTCCTCTCATTGGAACAAAGGTGAATTACGTGAAGAATCATTGACCTTTTCCTCGAAAATGTAAAAACAATGCCAAAAGTTATATTGAATGCGGTGAGCTTTCGGCTACAAGCCTCAAGAAAAGGTCAATGATTCTTCACGTATCTATTCTCGCTATGTTCCTCGCTCAAGCACTTCACACCATTAAAGATGAATTACTTCCGATTCACACTTCCGACATTCACTCTCCGCCGAATGCCCAACTTAGCTACGATCGGCGGTTGGGATAAGTCCTATGCATTTCACGTAAAACCTCTCCATGCATGCATGGATGGAGGTTTTAGCAGGGTGATCCGACTAAATGGAGCATTTTCACCTTTTTCTGGGTAATGATCATGAGCGTCGAGCGTCTGCACAGGGGCCCTCTGCAGTGCGTCGGCAATCGCAGCCACTATATACTATAATTATACCAGTCGTTTTTATCATGAAATTTCAAAATTGAGAATTTTTCTGTAAAAAATTACATGTCATAGATAGAAGGAAACCTTTGTCACCATCGGATTCCTCGCACCATTGCGCGTCGAATGATATGTAAAACGAGTGAGTAAAGACTGGGGAAAGGCAACTTTTAACACAAAAGTTGATTTTGCCCCCCCAACCGAAAATCTCTGGCGCGACGCCTATGACTGCCTATACTTCTTTTCTTAGTTGCTTTATTTCATCATTGCACTACAATGATGCCTGTAGTGCAATGCAGCCTGTAGTAAGGCTGCTATGCAGAGTCGTAGTCACTGTCTTGTTGAAAGCAGGCCCAGGGCGTCAAAACTTGTTGAGATTGGTACTGATTATTGACTGACATTGACAGTATGCTTATGTCATCAGGTTGCTCCAATTCATGTGAGCCCCAAGCCTGCACTGCATGACGTAACCCTGCCTAACTCCGCGCTGCTATTCAAAGTTTGTTCCTCCGAGCCTGAGTCTATTCCTTAGATGATGGCCTGATTGACTCTGGGTCTGGAAGCACATTGAAGAGGAGCTGGGACTGCCTGAACAGATCAAGATGACCCAAACCTTGTTATAATGAATACCAATACGTCATACCTACATTAGGACGTATGTCACTATTGCATAAATGTGCAACTCAAGACACAAATATAGCTGCATCTATAAGAAATCATCATCATGCACCTAATGCTCCAAGAAACAAGAATATGGCTTTTCCTTGAAGTCATATTGCTAGTGCAATGCTCTTTACTATCAGGTGAGTGAGCTAGGTATATTGGGCAGTGTGTGTAGTAAATAACCAGTATATTCAGGCTCAGCTATTCAATTGGCTTCCAGATAATCACTGCATTGGCTCAACATGGTATATATGAAAGGTATACATCTATTTAGTGATGAACTTAAAATGTCACACTTTTAAGCTCTATAGCTTGAAGTAGCCTACCCTTAAATGCACCTCCATGTCCCTGGCTGAAATGTGTTTTGAATTTTGATTGCCAATATCAGCTGGTAAAAGCTGCTGCTGAGAGTTTCAGATGGCATGATATTTGATAAGGCAACATTAGGCAGCCACTGATATCCTCCCTAAGTGTATTCATTAGTTGGATTCTTAGCTTACCACCCACTAATGTTACAGGGCTTGGTATACCCACATACCAGAAGCTGTCACCAAGGGAGCTGTTCAAGTACCGGTCCTACAAGGATGTGCAGCTCTTCCACTTCCAAGTTCCTGCACAAATGGCATATGCCAAGTTTGCATTCAGGGCAAATGAAACAGACTCACGATGTGATCCCAAGAACGTCACCATGTAAGTGTGTGTTGGATTGGCGAGCATTGTTAGTTATGCAGCATTTGGGGTATGCAGTACATTGTGCATGCTTTATGTGACCTCATGATCATCCAAGTCAGGTCAGGTCAGACTAGTGTTTGACCTCTGCTAATCACAGTTAATGCCTGTATTTGCCCCCTGTGCGTCCCTGCCGATTTCTATGTCTACGACCCTCCGTTTCAGATACCTGCAGCACGGCAGCTACCCGGTGGTGTCGCCACTCGGCGCGCGGTTTCCGGACAATTTCCACCTGGCGCGTACCTCGCTGACGGGCCTCAGCGCCCGCAGCGACTCCACCTGGCTGCGCTACACGGAAGAGGCGCCGCTCGCCGGCGACTGGTTCGTCGCAGCCTTCACACTCTATGATGACACGCGCATCACGCAAAAGGTTCGGGGACACCTGATGGACTGAGAGTGATTGGACGTGTCTGGGATTTGTCGAGACTCGGATTTATTTCCCCATCACTCAGCGAGCTGCTCTATGTTCATATCAAGTGCATTATGTTTAATTTGTAAGTTACGGCGAGTTTCGTCTGACGTTCTGTTTCCGCTGTCGCAGGGCCTGGGGCCCTCCTGTCACACGGTGCTGGAGTCGGAGGCGCGGCTCGAACCGCAGGAGGACGTCATCACCCTGGTACCGGAGGTCACCGCCCACCAGAGGCTCATCCTGATGCACAAAATCAACGCCACACAGTACTACAGGTCAGGGCAAGAGCCGGACATACTCGATAAGTGATATCGAATCGTTATCACAGCAATAATGGTTGGGTATAGCCGCGGTAATATCGCTGCCTTTGTTAGTATTCGTGCAGTGCTTTTGCAGGATCATTTTGATATATGCTGTATGCAATTCCTATGCAGCTTAAATGTTTTTTTTTCATTTATCAATGGATAAACATTTTCGTCCGTAATTTTTGGAATGCCTGCCACTCGGTAACAGATCTCCCTCGCCCGTTGCGCCAGGTTTGTGGTTCCTGAGGGCACGTTTTCGGCCGTGGTGAACGTCTCCAAGTGTGTGGAGGCGGGCGGGGGCGGACCGTGTCCGCTGGCCGTCTCTGCTAGTCCGCTGGCACTGCCCACCGACGGCGGACCGCTCACCAGGTGAGATTGACCGGGGCTCAGTCGGGTTCAGGGCCTGAGTTGGATGCATTGGCTATGTGTGGCTGTCAGTATGGTGAATTGTGAGGCCAGCGAAAGGCTAGCTATTGCGGTGCTGCGCCATATCGCCTGTTCTGCCTAGCAGACCTGTAGTGTTTGCCAGTTTGATAACTTATCGCCGTTATCGTGCCTAGTGCGTGCATGCTCCCATCTATGTCAAACAGAGGTGCTTTGTTCGTGCTTGCGTTGCTCGTGATGTCACTTCTGCGTCATGCCTTGCCCAATGTTCTGATAAGACGTAACAGTCGTTACTCTGACACCTCACCTATCGAACCGTACAAGCTAGCACATCTTAAATAAATGCACTGTATTTACCCTATATCAGTTGGGCTTTAATGTACCGTAATTCTTTTTTATTATCGGAACTATTCTATGTAGTACGTAACGTATCCTTTAAATAAACTTTCTATCCACATCGGTTTGGGTTTTACCCACCGACAAATACCGATGACATCCTAACAGTCCCTCCGCCCTCCCGCCTTCAGTTCTGTCAACTGCAGCAGCCTGAGCAGCGACGATAGCAGCACCGGCAGTGGCAGCGGCGGCGGGGTGTGTCTGCTAACACTGGATACGGTGCCGAACCGGTGGCACTACGTGAGACTGGAGCTCGAGAACGGGACGGCAGCCCAGTTCGGCATACAGATCGTGCTGCAGGACGGTACGGACGGGACATGTGGCGAGGGGGATGTAAGAGGGAAGGAGTGAAAGGAAAGGAAGTAATTAGGGATGTGGCTGAGCCCTACATAAAAAAACGCAAAATGACTATGCAATCGACGCGCCCCAAACCTCCAATGTAAAACGATGATGTCTAAGGATCTTACAACGTATCTTTGCATCTTTCAGTATCTTTCAGCTGAGATTGGTTTGACCAATGACGAAAGGCTGACTAATGACTATGCTATGTTGAAATGGCTTAATACCAAGCTACCTTGCCCTTTGGTGCACGGCACGGGTGACTAACGATTGCTATTGTTTCCTCGCTGCGGAATCAGTTCAATTGACAATGATGGCGTATATAATTGACCTTTGCCCCATAAATGCTCACACTCTGCTCACGTTCCACCGCAGGCTGTGAGGGCAGCCACGTCTGTATCATCATGCTCACACTCTGCTGCAGACTGTGAGGGCAGCCACGTCTGTTTCATAATGCTCACATTTAGCTCACGTTCCTCCCCAGGCTGTGAGGGCACCCACAAGGAGAATGAGTACATGCTGGTGAGCGAGATGCGATGCCAGAGTCCGGCACGCACCGCCTTCATACCGGTACTGTTTGCCGAGGACTCGACGCTCGGAAACGACTCCTGCGACTGGGACAGGTGGGTGCCGACGCGGCGGGGCTGTGCTCGGATATTAGAGTAGAATTACAGTTTGCTAAAATTACATTAATTTCTTTACGGTGGATAATAGCCAATGGATGGCTAGCATTTGTGACAGATCTGCTTAAAATACACATTTCTATATAGTTTCGATTTGACCGTAGTACCGATATGCCACAAATTTTATGTTGACTACCTGTCGCCGCTTTACATGTCATACACCAGCTTGCTATCATGTTTTCATGCTTACATCATGCTGGACGCTTTAATCCATCACTTACATGTGTGTAATTTGCCCCACGGTTCTAACCTCTCCCGTTCTGTTCTCCCGTCAGAGTACCTTTGGGCCGCCAGTCGCTGGCCGGCAGCCTGGCGTTCATCTATGACCAGCTGCCGGACCCGGTGACTACCAAGCCTCCCGCGCGGCTGAACATTACCACCGAGCGGCCCACGTATATGACGTTCGAGGTGCAGCCCGTGCAGGACATCGGCGGCACGCTGACGGTGGCGATTACACTGCCGACTGGACTGGTGAGGAGTGGGGAGGCCGGGTGAGGTGACATGGAGAACAACTGCAGACCTCTCAATATTTCTGGTAACACTTTTTTCCCACCGGCGGAGATTTCGAACATAAACGCTTCTTGTGTTTCAGTCCTTACTACTGACTTGCGTCAAACTTTTCGATTGCCACAAGCAATATTTAGATCACATCTTGCTGTCTGTGGTAACAAATTGCCATCGCTCTCGCTCCGTTCGCAGAACACCTCACTGGCCAACGTCTCTGTGACGGGCTGCCTGTCCCACTTTGTTCGCGGTCGGGTGCTGGAGGATGGCTCGTGCAGCAGCGGCGTTCGGCTGACGGTCAACACGACCACCTTCAGTAGCGGGAGTGGCAGCGACAGCGGGGGGAGGAAGGACAACATCACCAACCTGCCCTACCCGGAGCCGGGCGACTGGTACCTGACGCTCGCCGTCCGCTGCTACCTCCAACAGGAGTACGGCAGGTACGTACGGGGTGTGCCGTCCGCTGCTACCTCCAACAGCAGTACGGCAGGTACGTACGGGGTGTGCCGTCCGCTGCTACCTCCAGCAGGAGTACGGCAGGTACGTACGGGGTGTGCCGTCTGCTGCTACCTCCAACAGGAGTACGGCAGGTACGTACGGGGTGTGCCGTCCGCTGCTACCTCCAACAGGAGTACGGCAGGTACGGGTTTTCCACCAGATCACAGCCTCTCGGTTACAGAAAAAAAATGTTGAGAGGGCGGACTGTGGTGACACCTTTGCCCAACCCATGAGGATTTATCCGACTGTCGTGGCCTTTTCTGTCCGTAAATATGTATGTACCGACACACCTAGCTTACCGCTTGGTCTGTTGTTAGCTATTAGTGCTGAACAATCCCAACTGCTGCAAAACATTGTCTTCTGCCCTGTATGTCAGTCCCAGTGTGAAAACCACCTTCATCTAATCCTTTTTCCATTCCAGGGAGACGCCTCTGGTTCCGTGCCCAGAGAACCAGACCTCCCTGATCTTCCACATCGAGTCGGCGCCGTGTCTGCAGGCGTCGTGCGGCGCCAACGGTGCCTGCTACCAGTACTTCTCCGGCGGCTTCGTCTTCTCCACCTGTGTCTGCTGGGCCGGTAAGCACGGTAAGACCGCTCCGATTCTCTCTCTCACCCGCTCTCACACCGCTGCCTGGCACCCGGACCGCCCGACCCGGCCGCCGCCCGCCGCTGCCCGGCTAGAGCCCAGCCTGTAGACTCGCCCGGTGGATGCACTAACCTGGCTCGAGGGCAGATACCAGGCAGGACTAACGTTGGTGGAAGCCAGCCTGTAAGTAGCTAATGGCTTGGTGGGCAGGTTTATCAGAGGTACGCTGCCTTATTCGGTCGTGCTTGATGGTCTACCGCTTTCCCTTTTCCCTTGCCTACCTTTCGGTGATGGACTGCTAGAATGCTAGCTCTTCCCTTCAGCTGCCACTATACCTTCCCAACCCTTGTATGGTTAGTTTCTTTCCTTCTGATTTCATGCTAGCAAGCAATGTAAATAAGTTACTGAATCATGGAATATGGATGCATATATGTACTTTGTTGACGAACTTCCGGTTAAATAAGTGTCTGCGAAGGTGAAAATCGTGATACGCTACTCTTCATTTTTCACAAGAACCTGCGGTAGCTGTCGCAACGGACATCGTGCTTTTTACGGACATCGTGCTTTTTACTTTGTGCGAAAGTGGCGCGCTTACGAGTCATTGTCTAGTAGTCGCGACAATTTGATGGCACATTTGTATTTACCGTGAGTTTTTATGCAGTTCACACGACTATATCATCTAATCTAATCCCACTCTGTTGGGGCACAGCGCCTGGGGTTGCACGGCTGTACCTAATCCCCCTGACGCCGCTGCGCCAGGGTACGGCGGCTGGGGGTGCACGGACTCGTCTCGCGCCACGCCCGACTTCCAGCTGCTGCTGGCCACCCTGCTGCTCACCATCAGCAACGTGCTGTTCGTGCCGGCCGTGCTGCTGGCGCTGCGCAGACGCTACTTCACTGAGGCGTTCGTCTACGCATTCGCCATGTTCTTCTCCACGGTGAGGCGATGAGTTCAACGTGGGTAGTCTGCTCAGCGCTCAGAATGATTAATTTTGTGATGCTTCGATAAGCTGAGTGGAATTCCATAAAATACCTAGCCGTATTACTTTGAACGTTCGGTAGTTTGATATAAGATTTTCGGTGTGGTGTTATTTAAGTTTATACATGTCATGGTTTTGTAACGATTTAGTCACAGTGCTTAAGATAATTTAGTATTTTACATAGAGGACTGGTAACCACTAGTCTACACCATGTTTCGCGCATTGTCTAACAACACCTATTTACCAGGACTAAAACAGTTGTGAACATGGACACCAAGATTTTCCCCTCAACTCTAACCACCCCTCGCCCCCTCCCATCTGTTTCCAGTTCTACCACGCTTGTGACGAGGAGAAGTACGTGTTCTGCCTGATGCGCCTGAGCGTCATGCAGTTCTGCGACTTTTACGCCGGCATTTTCGCGTTCTGGGTGACGCTGGTGTGTATGGCCGACCTGGCACCCGCCTGGAGCTCGCTGATGAACGTCGGCGGCGCCATGCTCGTGGCGCTGGGCGTGGAGTACGACCGCACCGGGCTCTGGGTGTTTGTCGTGCCCGTGGCAACGGCATTCGTCTGCATGGTGTCCTCTTGGGTGAGTGAGAGCGGGAATGGGTGGGGGAGGGGGGCAGGGAGGGTGTAAATCTCCGACTGATACTTGACCGGACGGGTTAATTGACAGCATGTGTAACGAAGTTTCGTTGTTAACATTGGATACTGGGAATATTCGTTGTTCGTGACAGTCATCTGTCTGGTAAATTGCTCGCCATGCTGTAGCCAGTTCTGCACAGTAACCTTTACCACCTCAGCAGTAGCTTGGCACGGATGGCCTCTGACCTTCGTCATCCTCTCCTACGTTCCTCACAGGTGTACCACTGCCGGCGCCAGCGGGCCCTGTACCCTCCCTCTGACCCTCTCCCTCCCTCCCCCAGGTGTACCACTGCCGGCGGCAACGGGCCCTTTACCCGAGCCTGCGCTACCTGCTGCTGGGTCTGCTACCGGGCGCCACGGTGGCCGGCGTCGGCCTCGTCTGCTACGCCCTGCTGGAGACGGAGGAGAACTACAAGTACACCCACTCGGCCTGGCACTGCTGTATCGCCGTCTCGATCCTGTTCCTGCTGCCGCCGCGCCGCCCACAGACCGACTCGTACTCGCCGGTCGGCGGCGCGGCGGGCGGCAGCGGCTCGTCCACGGGAAAACTGCTGCGGGTGACGGCCGGCGGCAGCCAGCAGACAGTCAACACCAGCTCTGACAGCGAGCGGGGCGTGGCCGACGGGCACCGCTAGGGGGCGCCACGGCACGCCGAGAGGCCGCCCGCGCCGCTGCTGCTGCTCGGAGACAGCCCTCGTCGCTGCTGCTGCTGAGACTCGGCCCGTGCCGCTATAGGCGCTAGGAGGCAGCCCTCACCGCTACAGGCACCTGGGAGGCATCCCTCACCGCTGCTACTACCGGGAGGCATCAGGCAGCCCTGTCCCAGGACGATAGACGCACCCACTGCCGCCTAGAGGCAGCCTGCAGCCCCGCCGCTGCGGCCGCTGACAGACAGTTCCTCTCCCAGGGCGCTGAGATACAGCCTCGTCGTTACCACCGCCGGTTGGCATGTAGCCGAACTCTCTAGTAAGTAGTACTGCAGACGTTTGGTGAATTAGGACGCTGTGGAGGTCGGACGAAGTTTGAAAGGGTGTTACCAACATCCATGTCTAGGTTTTCGTGGCTTAGCAGATGGATGGATGGAACTCTTTGTATGTCGTCGGTGCTTCACAGCACAGCTCGTCCTAGTCGTCGATTGCTCCGAATTACCCACTGAATAGCTTGCTTTCTTCGCCTGATTGTGTTGTACGCTGTAGCTTGTCTATAGTTTCATCTACCATTGGCGATAGATCTCAACTGAAGGGAATGATGGCCTGTTGGCCTAACAGTGCACTGGTGTGCCATATTCAGTCAGGCTCAGTTCCAGCGTTAGAAGACAGGTAGGGATCAATTAGAGGCGGACTGTGATCTGCTAGTATTTACAGTGCAAGTCCGTGTTTTCTGTGACATGGAGCTGTAACTGATTGGTTTATAGTTTAATTAGCCCTGGTGATAGATGTTAGATTCGTGTTGCCAGGCGCAGAGCCAGGGAAGGCGCCATGAGAACAACACGACGGTGATGCTAGTGGTTAGTGAAGTGGAACCAGCGGAACAATTTTACCCTTAGGGAGGTATATTTGTTTAGATGTTTTTACAATCTTGTGGGGTTATTTTTACATTTTCTGCTGAAGACCAGACACGTTTTTTTCGGTGATTACGATGCCTATGTATGTGATGTCGTCAGTCTTCTTTGTACTCTTGTTGTGTGTCTCGGTACCGTATTTAATATTTGTCCATACTTCTTGCGTCCAGCTACTTATCTTTTGTGATTTATTGCCAAATATTTGTATTTATCTTTTTTCTTCTTTTAACCTTATCTATCCAATGTTCCGAATAGGCACATACATGCGTCCATGCTGCCAGTGTTATTACTGCGATGCTCGCCATTTTATATTTTCATTAACCGCTAGGCGCCACATGCTAGTCCATTATGAATTGCTACACTGATCATGTCAAGAAAAAAGACATTCGCCGGGTCCTATCCAATCAGTCTACCGATGATTTATGCATAATCTCATGACTGGGCTAATTTCACCGTAATAGGACGCCCCTCGTGTATCATTTTAGCCGGTGTGGGACTGGGAATGCCTAGTGTGGTGCCAGATTGGCCGGGGTCACGCCCAATTTTGGTGCGACTACTACTGTAATTCACATTCCCATTTGTTGATAGTTTGATGGATGTTTGCGAGTCAAATCCCACAGTTTTGCTAGCGACGCTTCTGTTTTGTGTAGTGAGTTCTGGTGCGCATAGGGTGCGTTTGCAGGCCCTATATTGTGTGCGGATGCGAAGTGACAGTTTGTGTACATACAGCGCCATGAGCGCGACCTTCTCGTCTTTTGAGCGCACATGGATGCGAGTGTTCGCGTCGCTGCGAGTTGAGATGTTGCGCGCGCCGCCCCGCTGCAGTGTGTCTGTGTAGGAATTTGTGCGCGTTTGTGTGTGTTCGTATGTCGAGTCCGTGGCCGCCGCTTGGTCGTTGAGGCCGCGGGAGGCAACAGGTGATTCGGTGCGTGCTCGTGCCCCGCCGATGTTGGTGGGGTAGGGGACAGGGGTGGGACCGCTGCCACTGTGTCCACTGGCACTGTCGCGTGTCACCCGGGCACCCCGGCCGGCCGGCTGTAGCCGCCGTGATTGACGAGACACCGTCACGACAGGCTTACCCGGCCGTCTGCTGCTCCCCGGCACCCCGTCACCGTCTGTCTCCTGCGCTGTCCTGGGTTGTCGGGACAGGAGTCTGTGTCTCCGGCGCTGTCCTGGGCTGCCGGAAGAATAGTTTGTGTCTCCGGCCCTGTCCTGGGCTGTAGTCTGTCTCCGGGCCGGGAGGCGGGAAAATCGCTCACTAACCGCTCCGGTCCAAACCGTCCCGTTTGGTCTGGGCCCGGCAACAAGGCCTGGAGATCGATAGGTAGTCAGGGTCGCACATAGAATGAGTGTCAACCAACCGAGGCGAGTTGTGCTGCCGCGGCTCGTTTAGTAACGATGCCAGCGCTATTGCCGTGATGGCATCGCTCCTTCCAGCAGGGAATGACTATGTCGAGCGCTAATTTGTATTATTCTAGGTGTGTTAGTTGTTACTATGCCATAGTTTTGTTTATTGTGGAGGCCTCTGGTAGTTAGGGAGGCTCGGTGATTGCCATCGGCAGAAGTTCAGTCCATCAGTGTACTGTATTGTTTATTTTCAGTTGCGGTGTTGTTTGTGTTGTAAGCGTTTTGCTATGACTGTCATGTACCGCGTACGATCAAAGTTCGGTTATCAGCTGTCCGAAGGAAGACGTATAGTGAGAGTAGTATTTTAGAGAGGCGTTCTGTCCAACGAGTGTGCCAACGCCACGTGAAGGGATAGGGGGGGGGGGAGGGGGCTGGGGCAGCTATGTCTGATCGCGCACAGCGGTCCCGCAAGTATTAGCTGTGTTCCATGTGATTCGGTGTTTTGTTGGGATTCCGGTACCATCCGTACAACGTACAATCGTCATGACTCGTGTCTTGTCGTTCACGGATGTAGTCGCGTGGCCGCCCTGGTGATGCCGGTCTGGTTAGATGTTAGGACAGAGTTTTGAGTTGTAACGCTTCTGAGCATGTCTGCGATTAGCAATGAGCTTTTGACGTAGGTATCTGAAGCCAGCTGCATCATGCATGTAATCAGGACGTGAGCATTTCGCATGCTTGTAAATGTCCATTTTACGTGCAAAAAATACCCAATTGTTTGCGATAAATTAATAATTCACAATGTTCGTAACAAGATAAGCGAACGTAATCGCAAGTTCGTCGATTCAGCGTGATGAAACTGCCGCGTGATTGTCAGACGTACGCAGTCGAAGCCGTATGGTGTGCGGCCGTCGCAGTGCTCGACTGATGTGTAGTGCTGCGCGGACAATAAACGACACGACACGTGCTGTAGTTATTTTGTTGGATGTGCCGCCGGACTCTGGTGGGCCTTGGTCGCCGCATTGGCCAAACCAGTCGACAGCAGCCACCGACAATGGATTTTACGAACTGGCTGCCGCCATAAGTCATTTCCAGTGTCCGTTCCAGCAGCGAATCGAAATGCTCGAAAGTCTGAGCCGGGAGGCCGGGGCCCGGTTTACGCCATCTGCAGCAGGCTTATTCAGCTTCAGCCGGCTGTCGAGTTTATACGTATCAGTTCCCTTCGTTCGCATCGTATTTCCCGACTGCGCAGTGCGCCGACCAGTAGCCCCGGTCGCGGCGCCGACTCAGTCTGGATAATATCATCCACCGCACTTTTTATTCGCGGCCGACATCCGGCGTCTGCCACAAATCACGTGTTCTTTACGATGTCGTCTCCTTCCTACCGTGCCGTCGGTCTTTAGAGACCCGCCCAGCAACAGCATATAATGGAGCTCGTACCGCCGCCGGAGGATAAAGGAAACAGCGATCCGCTTACGCCCTTCTCCGGACTAATCTACCCGGCTCTTCGGGGTCTCTCCCGGCGAATTACGCGGCAGGACTCTTACGACGAACTAGCTCTTCGCGTCTGTCAAGGACCGCACGCGCACGGGTCGTCCCCCAGGGCGCGGGGTGGGGTGAATTCGGATTACGGGGTCGTCGCTGGCGGCAGTTCCTCGGCTCAAACGCAGCGTTCGAGCGGAGTTTGTCAGACTCCGACCGAATACCGAGTGGGCCGGCGCCGGCCGGAAGTTATTCTGCGGCGAGGCGCCGGTTAGTGGCAATAACCCACCAAAGGCGGAGTGGGTGGGGCCGCGGGATCGATGAAAGGGGACAAAGCAGCACGCGGCATGTGACACCAGCATTCGACGTTTATTGCAACGACAATCAGCCGGGATAATTCGGAGGGCGATCCTTGCTACACCGGCGACAATCAGACACTATCTGTGATCTCCCACACAATCTGCACTGCATTCGCACCCAGATAGACACAGACATGCACGAGGAGCGAACAGGACATTATCGATGGTCTAACGCGGTCCCGCGCGGAGACGCTGACTTTATACTCAAAACATCCATCCTAGCGCGCTATTCCACTGATGAGCCTGGCGACGGCACTCGGCCGGTCCCTCGGGCCGGCCTGGAAGTACCGAGTTTGTATCAGAAGGCCGGTCACGGCCGGTGACTTTCCGAGCTGGAGCACTTCCGCGCCGTAATTTGACGCCTCCTACGTCCCTACACACTACGGAGTGCGCGCTGCACTGCAGCATCATAGGACAACACCATCGGCGGGATCAGCGGCGGCGCTCCGCGGCACGTGCTGTCCGTCCCCAGCGGTAAATAAAGCCTCTGCCCCCAGCCGGAGCGGGTGGTCGGCCGGCTCCCGGTCGGGAGGTATCACATACGTGTCCCGGGGCCGTCCGAGCCCGCCGGCGGCCTCCGTCACCGCGCCGCCGGGTCGATAGGGCACGCCGCCTCTCGGCGCGCACGGCCGGCCTCCCAGCCCGCCTGACGCGGCGCTAACGGATGTGTCCACCGAGAGCTGGTCGGACCGGCGTGACGCGACTTGGCGACCACGAGCGTCTTCCGCATGCGCCGGCCGCCGGGACACCACCGGGGTAGGATGTGTCACCGTCTGAGCTCCTTTGTCTCTGAGGCGTCCTCCGCCTGCCTCCACGGCGCACAGCTGGGCTGCTCTCCCGGTCCCGTCACGGCGGCTGTCGATCCGGCGACGTGACGTTGACACCAGGTGACGTGACGTGACTGACGGGTGTTGACGTGACGTCCAACACGTCACCGCGTCACTCCGTCAGCAACAGCAGCGCTCTGGCTAAACCGTATCACAAATGGCTGCACCGGGCCGGCGCACAGCGCGCCCGCCAAACCAGTACACAGACGGGCTCCGGCGCCGGGTTCGGCCGGTCTCGGCGGGCCGCCCGTCTACGAGCTGGTTGACGGAGCCGAGTCAGGGGCCGGGGCCGGCTCGGCAGAGGAGGAGGACGGCCCGGCGGCCGAGGACGGGCCGGCGCCCTCCTCCGACTCGGCCTCCAGCAGCTCCTCGTCCTTCTCCATCAGCTGCCGGGCCAGCTTCACGGCGTAAAACTCGTTGTAATGCGACTTGCGCTTGGCCTCGAACTGACGGTGCGCCTCTGTGGAGCAGACGGGGAAGGGTGTCAGATACAGACAGCCGGGGGGACGGTAGGGAGAGTGTCAGATACAGACAGTCAGGGGGGACGGTACAGAGGGGTGGGGTGTCTGGTGACGCGGGACGCACCGTCATCCCAGCGGTCATGACTCACGAGCCTGTCATGCGGCTGCAGTTCGGTGGGCGCAGCCCAATGCTCCCTGCTGATCAGTCCGAGCGTGTGCCCAGCGTCCAGCACCCACACAGCCTCACAAGCCGTATGTCCGTACACATTGGCCCGTCGGCGTGCCGTGACGAGGCCATAAAGTCGGGGATCACAACTTCATTACTGCCAAAGGTCAGCTATGAGCGGGTCACTGGCACACAGAGAGGCACAAATCATCGCAGTGAGCATAAACTATGGTCCAGTGCCAAACCAAAAATAGAATACTTCGTGAACCATGACATAACCCAAAAACGAGCGAAGGAAGATCAGATAATAAACAACAATACGCTGAGATCAGAGCACATGACACATACCAGAAAGGCTCGAGCTTGAGAGAAGCTACCTTTCGACTTTCATAACTCGATCACTAACAGAAATGTTGGACGAATAGGAAACCAGTTGATGTGATGGCGCCTTTGTTTGACCAAGGAACGGGACACCTAAGAGACATTTGTATCTACAATAATCGATGGTAAGTCAATACCGCCATGCCATTCTTATTGCCGGCCGAGGAGTCCCACTTATTTATTCATTTATTTATTTGTTCTGTCGGCATTCCTGAATGCATCGCAGCGCGTTATGTTCGTTCACGACCCATTGACTGTTCCTCGGTTCCTGTTCGATACGGACATTCAACAGCCGTGTGATGGCGCCGCGGGCGGTACCCGACCCACACATCACCGGTACTGCTCCGATTCCGGGGTGCCGCCCCACGCGGAACTCCATGAGAGCTCGCCTACCCGCGCCACAGGCAGTTTGACGCTCCACCGGCGCGCCTATATCGAAATCAATACCGGGCAAGTGGAGAAGATGGTCAGTGAGCCGAGCGAGGTCAAATACGGGTCACTGGGTTCATTGTCAGCACCAAGGGTACCACCCAGCGTCGGTCATTTCAATTTGTAGCCGCAGTGATGCAGGAGACCGGCGCGGTGGGGTCAAAGGTAAAACAAGCCAACAGCGGCAGTCGTGGGACGTTAATTTGTTGTTGGCACGGTTGCTGTTGGATATCAATGCTCGGGTCCACTCGCTGGGGGAAGGGCTGTTGGGTGGTGATTCGGTGCCCACGGCCCGGAGCTGGGCAGCTGTTGCAACACAAATGAAGCCAGCAACAAGTCGATAAACCAGGTGTTTTAGCGCCGGCTGTGCCGATTTAGGCAGTAGCACACAAAAATCCCATACTGTCAGCTACTGCCCCTTTCATCCACAGTTCTGGGAGACAAACGAGCTCTCAGAAATCGAATACTTATCTTCGCCAGTACCCCTTCAACGACACATGATGACACAGCCATCCGGCCGTACCGATTGGTACCGATACTCACCCCCACACCGAGCCGCACCTGTCCCGCGGCTCGGGGCGGCCACAAACCACAGTGAGCCCGTGTCGGCCAGCTGCCCTGCCACCGCACCGCCGCGGGCCGGGCAGCTGCGGGCTAGCAGTGACGACAGACACTGGGTCCTGTCCTGCCGTCCCTCTGCACGATAGGGACTCGAGGTGTCTGCTGTGTACTGCTCAACAAAGGCGGGGTTGACAGAACACGGCAGACAGCGACACTACACCGGCTTGAAACTAAGGTGGCTGCGGCATATCTGCTACACAATGCATTGGAGCAATGTATGCAACGACCCGATGAATTATTCATAAATGGTGGCAGATGTCTCGTGCAGAGTGACTGAAACTGCGGGTGGTAGGCATCCAGAGCAGTGTTCCGGAGTGTATAATACACCGAAGGGACTATGATCTGACTTTTCTGTTGAATTTGATTCACTTAGCGACATCCTACATCACTTCGCTCTGTAGATGGGTGAAAAATATCGATAAGTCTTCCACATAAATTTAGCCATACCCCATTATTCTCCACAAAACGGACTAAAAACTGGCTGACGGTAATTTGCACACGTTGGGTGGTGTGGTTTCTACGACTACCTACGTTGTGCCACAAGAAGTCGGTCCCCGGGACTGTGCGCGACTCCTGCCGTGCCCTCAGAGGCGCTCTGTCAGAGGGACGGGCATTACCAGCGGACAGGCCATCGCTCAGGGTCCACGCCCGACGCCAATATATCTGCCTCATTTGCCACTGGGTGTCCATTAACAGCGGGCCTCGCAGCGATAGCCGCTGACGGCAGCTCGACTACCAGTGGCGCAGTCTCGATAGATGCGATAGCCGTCATTACGAAGTCAACAGAACAACGCCATCACCAATGCCGTAAACTAAGGCAAGTGAGTAGCGAAACAAAGGCGAGACTATCCGAATTACTGCCATAAACCATCAACCGATTCATAAATCATTACTCTGCCTCCCCTAACCAGCCAAGTGTATCAAACACTATATAAACCATGGCGATAGAGCGTCCGCCCATTAGACCCATCACACTAAGATGCACGATCAGCCCTCTTCATACAGAGCTCTGAATAGCAAGCAGGCCTTCAGAACCCTATTATAAACGTGACGTTGGGATCAATACAGCGGCCCCGTCGCGTCGCCTATCGTCAGAGACAGCGAGACCGCTTCCGGCGGATACGGTGATTCGCGAGATTATTGGCCACCCATGCAATCTCCGCTCCACGCCATGGAAGCACAGATGGCATGGCAAGCGGTATGATGACACAATTGGACTAGTTAGATTAGATTTTCAAGATATTCTACTCAGATGTGCGTGGTGCGCACAAAAGTGGCAAATAAGTTTTAAAAATCCTGAGCATCCTGAGTTGTCTTATGTGTGGCTCGGTTTTCACTTTCCATTTCGTGTTTCCCATGCTTCTCATTTTTACTGGGTCATTTTTCATGTTCCAGACACTTGGCATTATCGCACTTCCCAAATTACGAGACCCATCGTTCAACTGGCTGCATATGGTAGCGTTAGTTGCGTTAAAATGCGGTTAGCCATCATTTCGCCATTTAGCATTTAAGTGGAGCTGTAATTTTGAGACAGCAGAAGCCGATATTCACTGAGATAGGCACCCATTTTAACGGGGTACCTAAAGTGAATTTAAATCGCATTTTTGAGGGTGGTTGCTTTAAATTTCTTGGAGTTGTGAAAATATTGGCTTCCAGCTTTGTACTATATCCGACAGTTCGCAACGTTTCGGGCTACTGGTGAATCAAGGGCTCCCACCCAGGTGGTCCGTCCGTTCTGGCCGGTGCCAAAGCAATCTGGCCTGGGGATGACCTTTTCTCCAAACACTGAACAGAAGAAGTTGGCGCGACTGGTGCCATGAATGACCAGGCTGGGATAGAATGGGATAGTCTTCTTCGAGATAATTTTTAATGGGTCATGCAGTGAGACCTGAAAGGACGTGAAGTGGAAATAAGAAGTAGCGACACCAAAGAGCGACATGCATCTGGGATATTAGCTCTCCCGACGCAAACAACACACAAGCACCCGGCACATACATACATCATCAAACCGGTACCCGCGTGACACAGAAGAGGAATGCGCTCGAATTCCAAAAGCACAACTGCGACAGCAGGCACGCTCAAGATGGCACGCTAGGCCATGTTTGCCGCCCGGCACCAAACACGCCTAATTCTGCGATAACGACCACTGGAGGGACGAGCGGAGCCCAGTGTCAACACGAGCCGCTTGCTGCTGCCACGGCGAGCCTGCCAAGTCAGACAAACAGCCCTGGAATGTCCGGTCGATACCGGACAATGAGGCAAACTAATCAGACCTTCCACCGGGAGCGGTTAATTGCCATGCAATGGCCCGGTCCAATTTCCCTCGAATAACCCGGCAGCTCGGCTGACGGCACATCAGACTTCGCCGGCGGCTGAAATAATCAACTAATCTAAAGACACGTGGCGTTTGCCTGCGAAGCCATTGACTTGACCATAATTAGTTAAGCTCAATAAAAATATGTCTTGTCAGACTTAGGCATCACTTATTAAAAATTCCACAGTTGAAATCAAAACCACCCGAGCTAATTTGGTAAGCGCTGAGGTTGACATCCACAGTAATTTTGGCACCCGAACAATGAGGATCTCTCGCGCTCCTCGGCGGGACACCGGAAGACACCGCGGCTGCGGCGACATCCGACGTCCGGCCCGTAAATTCCGGCCCGCTGCGCCACCGCGCCGCTACGCGAGCCGGTAAACCCCGCGCCAACGGGGCACATCAAACAGAGGGCCAGCTGAGGAAACCGGGCCACCAGCCGCACCGTGTAGCACGGAAACTCATCCACACAGCGTAGTACGGAAGCTGAGCCGCACAACGTAGTAGGTATGAAAAGTAATCCGCACATAACATAGCACGGAAACTAATCCGCACATAACGTAGCACGGAAACTCATCCACGATTCCACACGGCGTAGTAAGGAAACTCATTATATCCAGCTTCTGTAGACAAAAACAACGACCATCACCGGTGACCGGACCATCCAACGGCGCTGAGAACACCACTCCCCTCCCCCGCGCTTAGCCTCCGACAATCTCAGTGAGGGTGGGCCACCACCACCGCAGCGGAGCCGGCCCGGGAGGGACGGACTCGGGACGGGCGTCCCTGGGCAGGCACAGAGCGCTCTGCAGATCAATGCAGCCGGCCGGAGAGGTCCGGGGAGCGGACGGCGGGTGGTGAGCGCTGGGTGGAGGGTGGAGGGTGGAGGGTGGTGGGTGGTGGGAGGTGAGCGGTGGTAGGAAAGTGGTTGTCGAAGGACAGGGAGGGAGCGGCCGTCGCGCTCGGTATAAGATACGCTCAAACCAGGCCCTCCGAGCTAAGAGCTGCTCTTCTCAGCTAAAACCCACCAGACAAAGGGAACGCCGTTCGAGACAGAGCCAGGGCAGAGTAAGGGCGGCGCCGCGGCAGAACGCGAAGAGCCGACAGCAGCCCATAAAGGCAACCGGAAGATCGACGGTGGAAGGCAGATATAGGGGAGACAGAACACGAAGACACATCACACAACGAACAAGAGCAATGCGAGAACATAAAAGCGTGGTTGGAATGGGATTCGTAGCCAGCCCATGACCCGTGAGAGGCTAGGGAGCCGGCGACGGGACCGACGGAGCGGCAGACCAGACCAGACCAGACCAGACCAGACCAGACCAGACCAGACAGACAGACAGACAGACAGACAGACAGACAGACAGACAGACAGACAGACAGAGACAGAGACAGAGACACAGACAGACAAAGACAGAGACAGGCATACATACATACATACAGACAGACAGACAGACAGACAGACAGACAGACAGACAGACAGACAGACAGACAGACAGACAGACAGACAGACAGACAGACAGACAGACAGACAGACAGACAGACAGACAGACAGACACGGACGGTCTGTCCCTCCCTGCGCCACTCACCCAGCTGTTCGGCGGTCATATTCTCCTCGTCGTCCTCATCCACCTGCTCCATGGCCTTGAGCGGCTGTTCGGCACCCAACCGAATCCTGCCGGACGGGGAGGGCCCGGTGTCAGCGGAGGGGCGGTACAGCGTGGTGCGGAAAGGGGTGGGAATACGGACATCACTTCTGAACACTTTGCAGTCTCGACACTCGGTTGTACCAAATCCCCTTACCTACTTTCGGGATTTGATGAGGGTTTTGCAAGCAATCTCAGGCGACCGCTCCGTAACCATGCACTGGTAAATACGTCAGCATCGCAAAGATATTCAGCTTTCAGTTAGTTGGACTGCGATTAGTGGCAATATTGCTGGCCATGTTTTCGCCCATCTCGGTCGCGCGTCCATAACAAACCCTAATATGAAAACATGATTTACGCATTATGGTCACTCCAACTCAGATTTTCTCGAATATATTACCAAAAAGCTTTTCGCGGATGACAAAGAATGGTACTCGTGTCTCCAAACGCAATTGAATAAGACCGTAAATTTTGTGTCACGACGAGATTACTCCGAGAAACGGCACTTGTGTCCCGTAAGCGTGATAAGAACGCGAAAACGGCATATGAAGACTCGAGAAACCACCGTGGAAATTGATATCTGCGTCCAGCAGCCCATTGGCGAAATTCACACACTTATTCCACACATTTGTTCAACTGCACGGCAGACTATCACGGTGTCAGGTTTGGTCGGTCCATCCGTCGACCTTCCGCGCCTGAATGTGACATTTCCACGCGGCGTACCGCATTCCTTGCATACCGACACAGCCGGTGCCGAGCGGTATGACAGCCGCGAGGATCGCACAGTGCGCCTGCACCTGCCTGTACAGAGAAGCACCTCTGAGAGAGGTCCAAAGATGTTGACCGTGCAAATATCTGTCCAGCGAAAGTTCCGGGAGGAATATGTCATATTAAGTGATACTGTTCTTGTGTAATAATCGCAGGCGTTGGTAAAACGTCAGATTATTTCCAGAGTTTCCGTGCAGGCAGCAAGGGAGTTGTGTTAGTTTAGCAGTCTCCAACACTGAGTGGGTCAGTCTAGAAAATCCACTGAACAAGTGGCTCAGGATTGATTTAGTGACGGCCGTAATGCTATCAACGACGCAATACCTGTCAGCGCCAGCGCGCTCGGACAGAGCATGCGCCCATATCTTACCACCACAAGACACGTCTTTGCCAAAGACCGGTATTAACAAGACCAACACCGAAAACCCGGCGCGAGCCGCCATCGCTCTTTGAAGTGGGCCATCTTTCAGTGGCGGCCTGGCGGTGGCGCCGGCGTGCCGCCCCCGCCCCCGCCCGTCGTCGCCAGGGCGGGGGCGGGGGCGGGGGCGGGAGCGGGGGCGGGGGCGGCGGTGTTGTGTTTGGACGCGGCGGCTAGCCGTCACCGGCGTCCGTATAATGCTGTCATTGCCAGCCAGTTGCAGAAAGACTGCTCCCTCAACAATACCGGCACTGAATACCGAAGGTCGGGCGGAGCGAATGCCTTGGTAGCCACCCAAACGGCCACGCAATCGGCCCGAAACCGGTTTTGGTTCTGATAGGCCCAGCATTAAAAATGCGGCTCTGCAGGCGCGTTTAGAATATCTGCGCGATCAAGACTGCGTACTGCATTAGCTCGGCCAGGAAACAACTATACAAATACACTGTAAGAAATACACTGTATGCGGTGAGCCACTTAGCATGGGCCAAGCTTCTGTTTAAAGGGACTATTGATACAAAAAGTAGTGGAAATACAAGGAAGATACAAGTCCACGAAAAGGTTATGCCACTGGTAATTACTTCAAAACTTTTGCGACTCACACGTCACATTTACTTGAAAAGGCAGCACTGAATTGACAGGAGCAGTCACACCGTGTATCGACCCACCGGTGCCGACTGCCAGCGACCCAGCAATGCTGCCAGAGCCACCCAGCTACTCCACTCACCAGCGCGGCGGAGGCAATCCAAACACGCATCCCAAGAAAAACATCGCAGTGGGCGGGTACTTGCCTCCACATTCAACATGTGGGTGGAAGGTGGGTAAAAATTCCTTATCCTAGAGTCCATTTCCATCGACTAGCGCGCTGCTTGTAAGCCATATAATTGCCCGTAAGTAATGCAAGCCAGGTGATGTCACTGGCGGGCCGTCGCGTTACCATATCAAGGTCATGCTGCTCCCTGTCACACTCTGGACTGGTGAGCGGGAGTACGTCAGCCAAGCCACTGTAATTACACCTGTGTGTACGGAGTCGCTGCTGGTGGAGAGTGGCACGGAAGGGCGCCACGGGCACCGCTGTAATACAAAACCTATGCCCACGGGCGCCCGCTTACACGGCGGATAGGTTCCTGGCGTTAGACATACGAGTAGTCGTAAAACATAGCCGTGCGTACGGGGCACGCTGCAATATGTAACGTAGGAGTGTCAAAAAGACGTCATTGGCAACATAAGGTCGGCGCAGATCGAGAGATGTCAGCTGACTGAAACGGGCGGGAGGTCACAGATGAACGAATGCGCCATCGTCTGGTAACCATCAATCCACATTAAAATCAGCATGGCATTCTGCAGCATGTCGCACAGCTTATACCTCATTACATCATCGATCCTCATTAAAATCAACATTGCATTCCGAAACAAGCCACACAGCCCATATGGAATATATAGGATAAAGCGCATGCAGTTCTAAAAAGAGCGCCAGATTTGAATCGTTTTGGCTAGCCTAGTCCCTTTCATTGCTTTACGACGGAGGCTGAAGTAACCAGCATTCACAATCTCCATGGTCTTGACCATGCATATTGCATAAGAAATCCGGGTCGTGTTGGCAATGAAAAATATTTCAGCTGAGCTTAATCACAAACTGCTAATTAAATGCAAGGCCTTGCCTGGGCTCTTTGGCTGACGATCACCAACAGGGAGTTTACCGTGAAGAAAGGATTTTAATACAGTCACGATAAGCGGCACACTGCCAATCAGTGGCCTGTATATCAGGGTCGAGCTAGTTAAATCCCTCTCGGGAACGGCTCTCAGACAAGGGAAAACTTAAAGCATATCTAAATTTGAAAAAGCTACATTCGATAAATGATAATGCATGCTGATCGTGGCTGATCGAGCCGATAACACAAGTGGGTAGAGCTGAATCATTTGAGCACGCTCGCTAAAAAGAAGCACTTCCAGCATACCATATTAATTTACCAGATAAATCGCTTAAGTTGCATCCCAAGTAGGTACCTACATACCAAAGGGCAGTGAAAGGGCAGTAACCATTTCAACACAAGTGCTGTATGTTTTTATCATATGGTCTTACACCAGCACCGAATGCCCTAGCAAATAGGCTCGTATGTAAGCCTACAATTTTATAGTTCCGTAAGGTAAGTTGCGTTAGAAAAAAACCTTGAGGGCCAGGCACTGAAATATTTGACACTAGATGACACTAATGGTTAATGCCTGAAGATACACTGCGCCGCAATGCTCGAAGGAAACACAGGAGACTGTGGCGGGCGAATAACGCTTAGTTGGGATGGTGAACAGCTGGGTGGGAATGGATACAACATGTACAGCAACTACAATAGCAAGCAAACATGCAGGCATGTTCTGACTTCTTAGAGCTCATTCTGGTCATAGATATTCAGAATCACAGTTGACGACCTCAAGAAATCAGACCACACCAATTTACAGCCACCTAAATTCAAGGCATATGTTGATGTCTCGACAATGCACCAAGACTGTGTTTAACCATGAACTGAGCACGAACATCAAACCTGACGAGTGGAATCCTAATCAGTTTCCCAGACAACTTTTCATATCACATGTAAATTACTACCAAGTCCGACCGTCAGGCATGGAATCTCCGCCGGCCTAAAAGCCCAGCGACCGTTCCGTGCTTCTATCCTCAGGATACTGAAATCCTTCTCCTCCACGCCGCAACCCCCCTCCGGGCTGGACAGGCAACTTTATCTCATGCGGGCTGCTCCCTTGGAGCGGCACCGCTGCTCCCGAGGGAGCGCACCCCGTAGCCGGGTGCAGTGAGTGCCTTGGGGCTGGGTGGCCTGTCCTCTGGACGGGCTCAGCCCCGGCGACTAACTAGGGTGCCTGCCCAGACCAATGTCTCCCCCTATATCCTAGCATCCTCCCGGCTCTGAAATGGTCTAATTGGACCGAAAGGGCCTAACCCAACAAAACAAAACAAAACAAAACAAAACAAAACAAAACAAAACAAAACAAAACAAAACAAAACAAACAAAAAGTCCAGCACTCCTCCCCCCGACACTAGCTATATCGGCACCTGTCGTCGTATCACCAGACAATGATGTTGTCACCGCGCCGGCCGCCAGACGGCCGCGACAGACGATCACCGTGCAGATACGCCCGTAATCGCGCCGCCTCAGTCTGAGATGATGATTGCTGCACCACCGCAGCACGCTGACATTGCAGGCGAGAGGGAGGCTCTAAGCAAAACACGGCGGAAGTGATCGTCCATTATCATCATAGCCATGAATGCAGATGTGGTGAATGACATCAGACCGATTGATCAGACTCCTGATTTACATTTATTTACGTTCGAGAGTGCAGGTCCTTTACTACGATAGGTCTGGAACATGGGACATATCCTTTTATCTTAATCTTCTACCATCTTTTTCTTAAAAGGAAACAGCCGCTGCCTGTATCGGTTAAGGCAGCAGCCCCGTGCAATCGGTCCCATCTCGCCACCGAACCGTCTGTCGCCAGCGATTGCGCAGCCAGCGATCTGCCGTCCCGTCAAACCCAATCGTGGCGGCCACGACGCTGGTATTTGGGCCGGGCCAATAGACGGCGAAAACCGCCGCCGCCAGGGGCCAAGTTCGGCATCGATCTATCTATCTACGGGCGAAAAGTTGGCAGTTGGGCGCTCCGGAGGCCGCGGCGCATGGCGGTCGGCTTAGGGACCGGAAACTGTATTGGAGGCAGGAGTCAATGACACAGCCGGAGGGACAAGTTTGCAAGTGCTTCGGAACAACTTTGGCCAGTGCTTGAATTGCCTCGGCTTAAGTAGACATTTTGAGTAGGTACCCCAGAAACGGCTGCTAGGAATTGCTTCCGCCAGCCATACAAAGAGTATGAGGCTTCAGCTAAGTAACCACCACATGCCTTACCCTCAGGGTTCATTATATGGTAATGACATTTAAGCCGCCTTAGCAGAAATGCTATATCCGGATTTAGATGCAAAGTGAAAAGCTTCATCAGCGCAATAAAGAGGACCATTCACGAAACTGATAAAAGCGCTCGGCAACGAAGCCAACTGAGCTGGCAGAGCCGGCAGGCTTCAGAGCTGATTGCAGGCTGAATCGGCTCTGCCGCCTCGGTACAGTGGCAGCGATAATTGGAAGCTAATGAAATGCCAAACAAACTTGCTAATGAACAGCTGCCAACCGGTGGTGTCTGACGAAACCTGTAATATCTCTGAGTGAGGTCCACAGCGGGAACTGCTGTTACACTGCAACCACACAAGGCGAAAAGAAGCAAAACATAAACTTTTTAGCACTAGCTCGGTATGCAAAAGTGAGTCGGAACATCGGTAACACCAATTTGTTAATTAAATGTGCGTCATCTTCGTTCAAGCAGTGGGTTCACCAGCCCAACCAAACTCAGCGAAGACGCTGAAAAGTGTAAAAACCGCTGGCTCACATTGAATGGCCCGGCCTTCCAGGTGACGAATGGTGCATCCCGGGGGCCACAATGACTCAGCCATGGGCCCACTGTGCCAGCTCAGCGGCTGATGTCACCAGAGCACACGTGATTGGCCCCGAGTCGCTTCACTTGAAATATCCGCTCTACATGTCGGCGCGGCGGTGGCGTTTCCAGCCTGTTCCATCTCTGCAGTGTCGCCGCGTCCTTAGAGGTCATCAAACTCATGTTTGTGATCTCTAGTCACGCCGTGTAGTTTCTCCGTCTTTGACAGCAACACAACCCTGGCATTCGCCAACCGAGGATAACATGTTTCTTACATTCTCTGCCGAACCATCCGACTCACTAACACTTTGACGTCACCGCTCACACCCACCAACCACGAGCCAACAACAATCCGAAGAATTTCCTTTCAATAAGACAGCATGCCACTCGGTTACACCACAGCAACTGACGGCACTCACAGACGTTAGCCAGAAGGCGTTGGCCAATACCGCGAGTGTTAACCGAAGGGCGTTGGGAGGGCGATATTGCGACCGGCGCTGCCCTTGATCCAGAGCCGTGGACACCGCCCGTGGCTTATGCCCAGACGAGGCGGCAAAACGGCCGGACAAGGCATTGCTGCCGCGCCGGACAGCCGGACAGCGCACCAGACATCATACCAGCGGCCGGACACGGCGGCTGAACAGGTGCAATTTGACAAATTGTTAAATCCCACGTACATACGGTTTACCAGCTCAGTATTTCACCGGATGAATAAATTATCAGTCCAATACGAGAGCCTATGTGTAACGCACAATTTCGTCATGGGATAAATTTCATTGAAAAAAAACTAAGTATTACCAATACCATCCGCTCGATAAGTCCGATAGTATAAATGTCCACTCACACAATGAGTGCAAACAGCAACCAACCACTGACCAGTCCCATCTCAACTGATAGACCAAGTGGATGACTTCAGCCCCATCAGCCAATGATCTCACCCCCGTCCACCCGGCGGGAAAGCCGATAACGTATCGCCTTCTCCGAGACGTCACCTGACTAACAGCACCCGTTCGCGTGAAACATACCCACCGCACCCTGCAACTTCACTCCACCGCATGGCTACCTGGCACACGCCCGGAGTCGGCTTGGCAACCCCCGGGGCCCGGTGACATTTTTGAGCGTCTGCTCCTGCAGCCGGCAGCGGGCGACGCAGGGCGGCGGGCGGTGGAGCGGGCGGTGGGGCGGAGGGTGATAGGCGGCTGGCGGTGGAGTCATGGTGGGTGGTGGGTGCCTGGCGGCGACCGGTGGGTGGATGACGCTAACTTATGGATGCTGTGACAGCGGCAGGGCGGGTCGGAGACGGTATATCAGCAGTGACGATGGACGGTGATGTAGGCTGTGACTGCAATAGCTTGGAGCGGTGACGAGCATACTCAATGGGTGGTAGCCAGTGGACGGTAGCCAAAAACCAGCGGTCGGTAGTCATTAGACTGTAGCCAGTGCGCGGTAACCGGTGTGCGGTAGTCATTGGACGGTAGCCAGTGTGCGGTAGCCAGTAGGCGGTAGCTTGTGGAGTGTGGATGGTAGCCAGTGTGCGAAAGCCAGTGTGCGGTAGCCAGTGTGCAGTAACGCGTGGGCGGCGCCCGTCTGACGAGGCTGGACCAGCGCCAGGGCGGCGGCGACTGCTGTCCCCAGCGGACCCCGTCGAACAACCTCCCAGGGAGCCCTCGGGCCACCCGATCGGCTCCGGTTCCAATCAGTCGGTCCGAGTAACTCCGAATTATACTACTCCCATCGGAAGACACGGAGTCCGAGACCCAGACGACCGCGGTGCGAGGCCTCAGTACTGCGGCTGATGTGACGACACACCGTCAAGCCAGAGTGGCGGCACGACACCGAACGAGTTCACAGTTTACACGCCCCCGCGCTCTGCGACGCCACATAGATCGGCACCGTTTACGTGATCGGGATTCCACGCCGATCACGGCCTCCCACTCAGGTCAACGGGTCGATCGGAAAACAAACACGTCGACCGTCCCGTGCCGGCTCGTCCAGACACAATAGCATCCTCAGGCACCAGTCTGAGTATCGGACGGTTATAAATACAGCGCCGCCGTCTGGAGAAGGGCCAGGCCCCGTCTCCTCAGACGCCGTGGGGGGACGGACACGCGAGCGGCGTATCGATTCAACATCGCGCGCCGCAGCCCGGTGGGCAGACCGGACGTTCTCACTCAGAATTTCTCTCAGGGGAACTGATGTGGGGAACTGAACGCAACGGAGCGAGCCGCGCCTCCCCGAACGATTTCAGGCGGCGCACGGCTACCTGGGTTGGGCAGCCGCGGCGCAGAAGTCGACAGGAGTTATCGCGGCGGCAAAGTTGGCAGATATGAAGCTAGCGATCGCCGAGCTTATTAACCTAATTGGCCGTACCACTGCCGCATTACTAAAGACAGCCCACCGTTTTCAATTACCTCCACCCCGCTAACTAATTCAAGTCGTAAATTGTTCGCCGCGAACTTCCTAACCCCTCCACCGCCAAACTTCAACCTCCCGCCGTCGGCCGGACGGCAGCTGGACTCACTTTTGGGCGAGTACGTCGGAGTCGATGGCCTCCGTCTCGGCGGTCTCTGCCGCCTCGTCGGGACAGGCGTAGTTGAAGGGCGTCTTGGGCTCCTCGATCTTCATGTGGCCATAGTCCTTGTCGGCCGGGTGGAAGGTGGCGATGATGTTCATCTCGTCCCACTTGGTCTCCTTCAGTGACCTGTGTCAGGAGATACACAAGGTCAAATACAGGCGATTCGTGCGGACACAGGAGAGTGGGCTGACAGACGAGAATTATCACGCTAACAATAGCACATGCAGTATCGGGACATTGACTAACGCCCTCAAACTGCATAAATAAACACTTCTACACCTTTTTAGGCGCAATTTCAAAAAGTTAAAGACCAAATTCAAAAAGTTTACATTCGAAATGCACGTGAACGTTTTGAATTTGGTCTTTAAATTTTTGAAATTGCGCCTAAAATGCTGTAGTCATAGGCGGAGCTACTGTGTGGTAATGTTGCAATGATGACCATAGTTCAACTGGCATTGTATTTCACAGTCAGAAGCGATGCTTTCTTGTCTATTCAGCTTCTTCAAGATTTGCTTGGCATGCAAGTGTATGCATCATTCATGTACAAGAAACACAAACTGTTGCCTGAGTGCGGGATGTTGTCCAGGTTTACAGGTTCAGCAGCATAGATCTGAGCCTGAAGGCACATTCTGATAGGAGTGCGTGACGGCAACTAGTGTACCAGTGTCAAACCCGCTGACAGCTTATTTGACGTTAGTATTTGTATTTGTATTTATTCAACAGACCGTCAACAGGCGCTTGACCCACTAAAAGACGGAGTCACAAGATTAAAAACAATAAATATGGCACACACAGGCAGCATACATAGTCCAAAAGAATCACTATCGTCTGCCGTTCCTTCGTCGACAGGTTTACGAACGACACGCGACGTCCGATGTAACTTCACGAGTCACAAGTTTCTCTCAGACACTGCTCTATTTACTGATGGCTGTATCACCACTCTGGAAACTATTGCATCTTTTCAGGGACACGATCGGATAGCTATTATGCGAATAAGGAATCACAGCATATCTCTTTAGGGGGAAGCCCGTCAGCAGACCAGTCCTTCCCGTTACAGGTCTGGCTTCAGCGGCCGCCGGCATTGACACATTTGGCGTACCATGTGATGCCGGTCAATTGACGGACGCATCGGAGGGACAAAGAACATCCCATCAGAGAGTGTAATTATAGCAGCCACAGCCGAGCGAATGGTGTTTAATATTACAGACACGTTTAGCAAAATAACACCCGATCTAAACCTGTCGTCGCCAGACGGATGGAGTAGTGCAGGTCGAAGTATGTACATTTGGCCTTCAACCAACGAATCGCTTCTGGCTCCGACCACATCCCAGCTGTTCGACTAATGCAGTAATGCAACCATTGTCTGTCAGACCACAACTGCGTGCGAGCTGCGAGAATCACATCCTTTTCCAATTCAGGGCAAGATAACAGACACGCACGCATAGCGTGCGCCACGCCCATACGCACACGAGTGCCTCCGGCATGTGTAACACGCAATGTTGCACGCGGGAGAGTTACGTAAGCCCGAGTTGGCACAGCGGGGCCGGGCGGCGTTTGCGGTCACGTCTGGGAAAGCGGCGGTTTGGCGACGCCGGCGAGAGGGGAGCAGGTTGTCATGTATATAGGGCCTTGGTTGTCATATGTCACGGCCGCTGTCCGGGAGTCTCTGTCGACTGGAGAGAGGGGAGGAAAGAGAGAGAGAGAGAAAGAGAGACATAGACACAGAGAGAGAGAGAGAGAGAGAGAGAGAGAGAGAGAGAGAAAGAGAAAGAGAAAGAGAAAGAGAAAGAGAGAGAGAGAGAGAGAGAGAGAGAGAGAGAGAGAGAGAGAGAGAGAGAGAGAGAGAGAGAGAGAGAGAGAGAGAGAGAGAGAGAGAGACATAGACACACAGAGAGAGAGAGAGAGAGAGAGAGAGAGAGAGAGAGAGAGAGAGAGAGAGAGAGAGAGAGAGAGAGAGAGAGAGAGAGAGAGAGAGAGAGAGAGAGCGAGAGCGAGAGCGAGAGCGAGAGCGAGAGCGAGAGAGAGAGAGAGAGAGAGAGAGAGAGAGAGAGAGAGAGAGAGAGAGAGAGAGAGAGAGAGAGAGAGAGAGAGAGAGAGAGAGAGAGAGAGAGAGAGAGAGAGAGGCGGGGAGAGAGCGGACGCGGTGACGACAAGGGAAGACGGCGGAGCGGATATTGCGGCGTCCCGGCGGCTTAACCATTGACATTTCGTCGCAGGATGAATTCAACCCGGCCCCGCCTCGGTCGGCAACAGCGCTTGAAAGCAGCACCTTCCACACTCACTCACAGTTAATGGGTTTTGGGAGAATATACGGCTCACAGGGCTCATTGCGCCGATTGGCGGTGTTGCTACCCCTCCCCCTGGTACAGAGGAGACTACTGTGTGGTCGAGACCGTGCCGCCCGCGTCAGACCACCCGGTACAAAGGCTGTCGAGCCCGACCCAGGCCGGATACCGACTCTTTATCGGCGCGATTGCAGTGCTTGAACACGGCCCGGTTTATCGGCGGAGATTGCTGCTCGGTCCGGCCCGTCCGCTGGGCAGTGGGCAGCTACCGTCGGCCAACAGGGCGGCTAGTAGCTGCACCATCCCGGCTCGCTCGGTGGCCATCGCCGGATGGTAAGGGCATCAGTTCGGTTCACAAACTATTCGGTTCACTATTGGGGTGGCGACAGTACAGACATACCACGAGAGCAAGAGACACCCAAAACTAAAAACGGTGGTATGTGTGTTGCAGGAATATGCACAGGAATACACGCACTACACAATGTGCAACAGTGGGAATACCGATACATGGATACATGCAACGCTTCCGATGGCTAAACCAGAATCGATAAAAGACAGGTAAATAACTAATCAATATACGTTGGATGTTCTGTCCTGAATGACGCAAAAGCAGCTTGCGTCATAAGATTCATTTCTAGCGTGAACAGTCAACGACGCCAGCAAACGATCATAGCGTGGTGGGATGGCTATTGCAAAATGGGTTAATGGGAGCAGAGTAATATGCCGCGACGGGCAGCCGCGGCCGTGTGCAGGTAGGTACTACAGATTAGCCGTCAGCCGATAGCGGGCCCGACTCGGAACACGAGGGCCAATTTGTCACGAGCTGAGTTAAACCACTCTGGCGCCGGGAGATAAGCCTGGCTGGTTCACCGTAATCGGCCGGGAACAGCGGAACCGGGCGGCGGGTGTACGGCGGGGTGAGATAAGGCAGCCAGGGAAGGTAAAGGGTTGGATAAGGGAAACGAAGAAAGCAGGAATTGATCAGAAGGCGATTCAAACCAGGGACTGTCAATGTCAAATAAGAGTAGTGTACTGATTGCATATCTGTAATGTGTTAATATATAGGGATGCCGAGAATATTGGAATGTAAATGTTTCAAGTCACATCGCAATATCCCGATGCGAGGAGTTGACAGGCAAATAACAGATTCGCCATTTTGCTGGAGCACCGCCTCGACTCACTGGAATATTGCATTTCCACCCACATTAACACCTCTGGGAATTTATTACAGGGCCTGGCATTTCGGACGGTTTGCAAATGGGGCCATCCGACGGCAGCAATATGTAGACGCTGAAAATTATACTTAGGGACGGCTATTGAACTAGGCGCTCTTTAACTTGCACAAAGGAGTTTTCGAAGACCACCCATGAGCAGCTTTCTTTTCCGAGAGCAAGACTTAATGCAGGTACAAAATATCTCAGGGCGACCGACGCCAGTCACTATTGTATTATTCCAGTTGATTGTATTTGCCTTCTGGCTTCTAAAGACTTGGCTCCATGCAATTGCCTAATTATTTATTGATTCTTGGCACCAGTCACTATTTGCAGGTGCATGCCCTGCTGGGTAATGTGCAGAGCACTGTGGTGCACTGTGGACCTTACACTGAGGGAAATGTAACTGTAGGGGATGTGACATTGCGTCTTGGAACATATGTTACGCATGCTGCATCAAATAGCGGCTTACACAAGCAGCTAGGACGACCGCCTTCTGCGCAGTCAAACACCTCAGCCGTGTCTCGGTAGCTCCAGCGAATGCTGCTGCTGCCACAGCCGCGAGGCATACTCGTAAGTCGTAGGTCGGCCTCAGCCGTGCGGCACTGCCAAATACACCGGCCCGCTGCATACCAAACGTGCTCAGGTGCCGATGGAATGTCCCTCAGCGGAGCCGGGCGAGACACTCCCTAGTAACTGGTGGCAATGAATGCAGCAGTGATGGGCACCACAGCGACACGGAGCCGAAGCCATGTCCATTTACAGGACCAGTCTGCCCTATTCATTGACGAAAAGTCAGTCGTTTGACTTCATTCACATTACGATTGGACATTCTTAGGTGAACAAAAATATCATTGTATTATGGCCCCAGCCCCGGTTGGTTGGCCGATCTTCTCTCGTTCTGAACATAATAAGCCTGATAAGGAACAAGATCCTGGTAGACTGTGATACAATCCTGCGACTGAGCGTCGTCGGCTAGATTAATGCAATTATACTAATATCATGACAGCCAATCGAATCAAACTGATGGTGTTATAGCCAATGCAATCAGACGTCCACGAACTTGACATAAAAGGTTTGAAAAGCATATTATTCGAATTCAGCTACACAATAATTTCATTCGTGCACAAATGCCAGCGAAGTGACAGCGTCCTTCACAGGAAAAAGAACCAGACACATTTGTATAACGGCATCACCACAAGAACCGGTTGTATGACGAGCTGAGATGCCAAACTTTTTGTCAACACTTGGATGAAGTGAAACGTAAACACGGCTATCTGGCCCAGCATCAAACACGTGGAAAATGACAAACATTACGGTATGGTGAGCCACCGCAGGATCGTCACAGCTATCAGCAAATGACACAGCATCGGCTAAACCATCGTACATGATTAAACGGTCGCTATCGCTGGTCAGTGGCGCTGTGATTGGGTTCTAATAATAGCGGAAGTTCGACACCAGTAGATATCTTAGGCCAGCATTATCTCGGGGGAAATGCTGCAGGCATTGGGAAAGACGAGGACGCTATAGGTACCTATTAATTGGACAAGGAGCCTATGCTCAACGCTCATTGACGATATACTTGTTATGCAGACGTATGGAGGACGGGATAACTTACGAATGCTGCAAATACAGACAGGGCGGTGCTTTGCCAAGTAGGTAATAGACACAAAATTAATTCATGAACTACACATCAAGTAAGAAATTGCTAACTAGGCTTTGTTCAGTAGCATTGAGAAAATTACCCAAGGTCCGTTGTAGACGATCGGCCCTTGATCCCTAATCCGGTAAGCACTTTGCTATTTTACCTACAGGGGCATTCCACGTCAAATCGAACAAAAATCGGCTGTTTTGCACCTTACCATCAGCGATTTCATTATAAATTTGTGAGCGAGTTCCTGTGTGGCCCCGGACATTACATTGATGTTTTTTGCACATTCTGACCACAGGTCTTCTAAATATAGGGCATCAAATTTTTACAAAATGTTGAATCTTTATATTTTTGAACGACCATAACTTTGGTTGTACTTGTTTGATTTGAATGAAATAAACCTTACTGTTTAGGTAATTTCTTAAGCATTTGTTTAGAATTGCACCTACTTAAATATATGACCTTGAAATTTGCTTAACTCTGTTCTTAAGCACAAATATCGTAAAAGCAAAAAACACGTCACCTTCGATTTGGCTCATTTTCATATATTTTATTGCCAACCATATTCTTAACAACCTGTGAAAAAATTAGAGTGGGCCATTCATAAGTTTTGAAGAAAATTGCACATATGCAAACGTATGTTAGCACGCGCAGTGGAGGGGGAAGAGCGAACTTAGCCCACCCCTCCTGTTTTTCGCCAATATCTCATAAGATTAATGCGAAATTAATTATGGCTACCTGTCAAGAATTGAATTGGACATCTCATCGTGCAAGCAATAAGAAAATCGGTTCACAACTGCTCTAGTAATAGCGGTGTAAAGTGAACATCCTGTCGCCGCAGCGACGCGGCGACTCGGCAGCCGGCGCCGACCGCTATGCGCCGCCTGAATTGTAGACTGTGCCGGGACGGAACCGAACGGTTCCGTCTTTACATCGCGCTCCCTACCGCTGATTACGTTCGATTCGCGTCAAATTTTGTGAGAAGACTAAGAAATGTACAGGCAATCTTATGGTGAAAGAATTTTGAAAATCGATTGGTAAACAATTGAAATATGAACGTGTAAACACAAAATTGTGATTGCTGCGTTTCCCGCATCGGCCGAGCCCGCCTCAGCCGGCGACATGTTACTCTTAGCAGGCCTCCAACTGCCATATTTATTATTGGATTAACTAGAAATTCCCCATACATACTTTAACAAATGTATGTTCTTTCGTATAGTGAAGATCAAAAGACGTGAAGATATCGTTGCGTGATAATGTTTTCGTTGAATTTACTTCATGATGCATTTCCACACGGCTCAAAATTCACCGCAAAATACCGTTTGCCTGAGACACTTTTACTATGGAACGTGAATGCTTGACTACGATGACTATGCATTTCCATTCTCGCAGAGTTTGGGATATCACTAATCAGCAATCATTCATTTCAGAAAGTGTACACAAGCAAGCATGTCTTGACTCTGTCTTTCAAGGTCACGCGCGGTTGCGTGATGTTGATGCATGAAAACGGCGTTTGCCGCGAAAGTTATGAATGGCCCACTCCAATTTTTTCACAGATGGTTAAGAACATTGTGACGGACATAATATGTAAAAATTACCCTAATCGAAGGTGACGTGTTTTTTGCTATTTAAATTTTTCTGTTTTAATTCAAGGTCAAATGCATTTCAAGGTCACTTCAATTTAATTTTATAATTAAAAATCAAAGTCTTATCAATTGCCTATAAGACCCTGTTAATATCATTTTGATACCAGAAAAGGAACCAGAGTTATAGCCATTTAAAAAATTGATGTGTGGCATTTTTCGCTATATTCGATGACCTATATCTCAGCGATACGTTATCAAATTTCGAAAATATTATACGTAACTCAGTTTTGAACCATGCCCAGCCTGCCTACAAATTTTCAGGAAAATCGAAGGGGATGACGGATTTCGGTGTTTGATTTGACGTGGAATGCCCCTACAACTTTGAGCATTTAATCCGCAAAAAGCACATGCGGAATCAAATGGTTACCTGCGTACTTGCTATATGTATTAGTACTGCATCATAATTCTAATATGCCCTATTTTGGCACATTTATTTAGGTACTTACTTAATTGGGGGTTTCTGTAAATGGTCTGTGGATCAAGAGGTGCATCGACCGCAAGGTCATTTGCGCCCACTACCGCATCCTTTGTGTAAAGGCAAAGACACCCAAAAGCAGACACCATGTCAGGCAGCTTGACTCATAAGAAAATGCTCCAAAGTGAATCTGTAATCTACAAACAATTTATAAAAATTGGAAACAAGCCCAGCAAAGTTGTTATGCTGAATCGAAATGTCTGAAGTAAACGCAGTAGAAATCCCATGGAGTGATGAACACTGAATGAAGTGGAGGCTTCACCCTCGCCTGTATTGGTGTTTTGCCAGCCGCGAGCGTATGGTGAGAGGAGGGGTCCATTGCCCCCCCCCCCCCTGCCGTACGGCCCCTGATCGAGCTAGAGAGAAAAAAAAAAACGAGTGTGTTTCCTGTGACGAGAGGAAGCCGATAATACCCAGTTTTAAGGTCTTAGGTCATCAATTGACCTTCCAGATCAGGGCAATTATCCAAAAGTCGGAAAAATCGAAACCTGACAGAACTTCGTAAAGTGAGGTAGTTATGGGATTTTTTTTCGGGGTGTTGATCACGAATTTCATGTTAGTTTTGATAACAGATTATGCCTTCATGCATTTACACCAGGTCAGGTCAGGTCAGGTCAAACAGTAGGCGTCCTGCCGGATTATCATAGTATGTGTCAACCCCCACTGAGAGCTTCGTAAGATGTTACGAAGGCACCAAAACTACTTCGCAAATGTTCAAATGGCTTGCTTAGTTCGAAATCAGCTATAAAAACTAGCCTAGAAGCATATAAAACTAGAAAAAGTGAACCAAGGTCATCAAAGGTCAATGACCTGACCTGACCGTCATGTGACCTTGACACCCACCCTAATGCACTGGACCAACATCATTTCACATGCTTGGACGTTTAAAACCACAAAAAGACTGCAAACGCGCCGATAATGTGAGCCGACATACGCCGGTCACCGAATCGCGATTCCGGCCAAACATGGTCTCGAGAAATAAGTCATAGGTCAAAGGTCACTTGGGTCAGGGCCATGACATTTTCAGGGTACCTACATGTAAAATTTATTACCTCAAGGTTACTGAGAATTTCGTTGCAATCGGTCGCTTTTTGCGCGAATTATTTGCGAAAAACCGAGGGGGTCCATCAACCCCCCCCCCCCCTAGAAAGTGTGAGGGTTAAATGTCTGGAGAAGTCACATTCTTATCCTCACCCTCCTCTGCAAGCTGTAAGTTGTACAAATACTGATTGATAGTGAAAAACTCCATCTTGGTGGGCAGCACCATTGATCAAATCAATTTGAACAGTGAAAGCCAAATGAGCAAAATGATAATAAAGAAAAGTCTTGCTGCATGCATTAAGGCAGGTGGCTTTGTGGCAAAGCATTATTTAGCAGATCCTGTCTCATTGCATTCACATTTGCATTGTGATTAGGTTCTCAATCCAGTTACTGACAGGAACGTGATAGGTACCTATTGGAGATATTTGACATGCACTCTTTATGCACTCTTTATTTCTAAATAGATCGTCATGAATAAATACATACAGTCAACAAGAGGACAGCATACAGTCAGCTAGAGGACAGCATTGAGAGAAATTGTTCAGACAGGCAAAAGTCATAGGTAAATTGCACTTACGACTTTCTCTCAGTCTTGTCAAAGCTGGTTGAATTCTTCAGGATTCCCTTCTTGGGGGGCTTCAGCTGCTCAGCCATTTTGTGAGTTTGTCTGACAGCTATATAGTTCAGTCACTCTTGTCTCCAGGCCACAGTCTGAAAGGACAGAATGGGAATTCACATATGTTAATTAAATATTTCATTATCTTTCAGATCTGATCTGAAAGAAGTTCTCTACAGGGAGCCAATATTCAATTGTGCATTGACATAAACCAACCATATTCAAGCTAACTAGTATTCCAAAAGTGCAGGAAATGGGAACCCGACAACAGAGTCCAAAAGTGGAGTCAACCAATACAAATAGTCATTAGACGATAGGATACAGTGACGATAGTCAATTTTGATCTCTATTCATGCAATGGAATCAATCTAGTCTTTAAAAATGGCTTCAGGGATCACAATCATGTTTCAAGAACTTTTGTCAAAAGGATATTTCTATTTCCATCAAAGCATGTCGCTAGCAAGTAAAAACAGATCAGAATTTTTATATTCATTGAATAAGCAAAGGCAAATTGAAATGACCTTTGGGATGATTCTGATTCAAATCAATCACCTACAAGTCAGCTTATCGGTAACATAAGTTATGATGCCTGGAAGTACTTCTATGATATTTCAGCAGCAAACTTCATTGCTTCATTTGGATTTTGAAAAATGTTGATCTCCGAAAACAAAAATTAAAACGCCATTTTTATCTTTCCATTGCATGATCATGATCTGCTGCCTACCACGAGAGATTTGACTTTTCTCACCTTTATATGTCGACTGCCAGGACAGTTCCTAACTATTCGGAATTTGAATACAATTCCAATTCCTGCAAAATCCGACACAAAGTCCCCCGGATCTCCAACGTCCACACCACTCCACTTTTCAACACAAACTGATGGGAAAATTACATTCAAGGTATTGCTAAAAAGAAAGCGAATTTCTTAAAGCCACTCATCAAATTACGTCATAAAAAGTAGGTAATGAAAATTCTAAGTTTCTGGAAAAGCTGAGACCATTTTTTGCCCTCGGTTTATTGATGATTTTTTTTTATATTCATTAATATGTATCCGTGGTTTGAACATATTTGCATCAGTTATCATTCGACTGAGGACGTCATCAGACAAAGTCGATGGCGTCACTTTCAGGCTAGTGCGACATATCAGACGCTAACCGGCCACGATTTTACCGCCCTCTACGAAATGCGGTCATCTCACTTTGCAAGCGACCTCTACAACGATAGAGGAATCGACAACTGGCAATCCGGCCTGATCGCGTCTCTCCGGTCTTGCCACTCTGGCTATGCAGTGGTGGTAAACGGTAATGGGCTTCCGCGATTACCATAAGTTCCAGGGAGGTGCCATCCCTACACCTCCCCTGCCGTCCCCTGCATCGTTCATCACAAGTGGCTATAATTAGGATCTGAATGCCAAAATTCATGGTAAGAAGTTGCTTTCAACTTTCAAGCACTGTTCAGCTCTCAAATGGGCGATAGCCACAACGCCCCCTGCAGTCGCACCAGACTTAAAATTGATAGATCCACTCTACTGACAGGCATGGTGTATATTCAACCCAAAATGCACATAAATATCACAACAAAACAACCCCTGTTCCCTGCGTGACCATGTGAGTAGCACTGCCCGCTAGCTGCGCTTCAGTTTATCCCCGACCCGCTCCCTGACCGCCTGGAGGAGGCGGGGCTCGCTGTACACTGCCGCGGCCACCACGGCGGCCCCACAGAGCGCGCCCACAGTCACGTGGGCGGCCGCGGAGCCGGGGTACAGCCAGCTCTCGGAGCCGGCTGCCAGCAGGCCGGCGGTCACCAGCGCGGCAGCCACGGCGGCCGGCGGGCGGAGACCGAGCAACGGCGGCACGGACACCGCCGGCTCCAGCGGCAGGCCGGCCACGAACCGGTAACTGGCGACACACGGGGCGGGGACGGGGTGAGAGGGGTACCTACGAGACACTTTATCGGGCAGCAGCAGCATACGAGATGGGGACAGGGGTGAGCAAGGGTACAGGACACTGTATCAAGCGCCAGCAACACACTGGACGGGGTGAGCTGGCAGCAGCAGCAGAAAACGGGACGGGGACATGATGGTTGAGAGTGGCACGGGACACAGTATCGGGAACCAGCAGGTATACGGGAAGGGGACGGGGTGAGAATTGAGAGGGGTACAGGACACTATTGGGGACAGCAGACATTCGTATCAGTCGATGGACGGGTGGAGTAACGAGATCCAAGTATATCGAGATCGGCGAATAAAGCGTGATATTGACTATCCATGACAGATTGGATAATGATGTAAATAACTAGACCAATTAGGACAAATCAAATCTATTCAAAAAACACAAAAACTCACCAAACGTATATCCTGGTCAGCATATTGACGCAGTTGGCGAGGATAAATCCAACCCCGCCGAATAGCCTAGTAAAGATCCCTGTCGAGACGACGAATATCACAGACAGCAGCACCATCTTCCGGTTGTACCTGAAACACCGGAAAACGCCACAACGGTCTGTCAAAGCGCCCGATAGTAACGTTCCTAGCACTTCATCTGCTACGACTGGCCAGCTTTTCCACTTCGCTTCTAGCCGCAAAAGACAGTCTTACAATTAAAACCAACATGACAACGCCATTTCCTGATCCTCTTAACATCTACCGACTTTTACCTCACTCCTTCCTAAGCCACCGACCACAATTCCCGACCGCTCTCGAGAGTATCTCCGCTCCCACTTACCCATTGATCTGCTCCTCGCGCATCACCGCGAACGTGTAGCACTCCAGCACTCCGTTCACCGCCAGTAGGAGCACGTAGGCGCACTGGGCGCGCAGCAGACTGACGGCCGGACCGGCGGCCAGCAGGGCGCCGCCGTACAGTCGCAGCAGCAGGTGGGAGTAGCTCCAGCCAAACGTCACGGCAACCAGACCGAGCAGGCTCATGGCGCGCAGCAGGTCGTGGAGCACCCGGCTCGCCGCGGCAGACACCGGCTGGAGGGAGAGGGGGTAGGGTCAGACTCATGGCGCGGAGTAGGTCGTGTAGCACCCGGCTCGCCGCGGCAGACACCGGCTGCAGGGAGAGGGGGTAGGGCCAGACTCATGGCGCGGAGCAGGTCGTGTAGCACCCGGCCCGCCACCACAGACACCGGCTGGAGGGGATGGCAGGCAGAGAGAAAAGGATTAGACGCCGACTACCGAGCTGCAGAGAAAATGGTAACTGAGGACGCGACGGCTGACGGTAAAGATGGAGAGCGGTAGAGGAGCTATTGGCGTCTTGTGCGAGAGGATAGACATTTGTTCACAGTCCTACCACAGCCTAACGGCGCGCCCCAATGCACTCAGAGCTGTCTTCTATTGGAATGTCACTACTCACTAGTCAATGCTCATACATAAAAACTGACTCTGATCACCAAAAAGCACGTCATTCATTCCCAGCAGCCAATCCTATGACAGCTCACCTTTCCCCGTTCCACCGTGCGCGAGAAGTAGACGTAGGCGTTCTCCTCGACCGGCTGAAAGAGGAAGCGGGCCGCCAGGCTGCCCAGGTTGGCCACCACGTCGTACAGGCCCTGCTCGGAGAAGTCGAGCAGGTGGAAGGCGGTCATCAGGTAGCGCTCGCCCTCCGTCAACAGCTGCTTCAGCAGGCCTTGCTTGAAGAAGCTCCAGGTGAGGGCCAGCTGGTCACGGTCCAGCGCCGGCTGACGGGGAGGGGAGGAGAGGTATTACTGATCAGTGGGGAGAGATGGCAGCACCGGTTACATCGCCATCGTCGCGACAGGAAATGTTAGAGGCAGACGCGGTAAGTCTAAGTGGGGAGATGACAGTGGCAGTATACCTTGGGCTCTACTTCTGAGGATACTCGATCCAGCGCTGCCGTGAGCTGTCTGTAACACAGGTAGGTCTTAATGTGGGCGGCCCGTCTGCTGGGCGGCTGCCCACACTCCTTCCCCTTTTAGGGCGGCTCCGACTGCCGCCGGTGCCGCCCGAGCGGGCTCCCGGCAGGGCTGCCGCCCACATTAATTAATACCGTTTTACTGCAATCTAAGAGGCCTTAGAACTAAAGTTCTAGCTAAACGAAACAAAGAATGCGACGACTTGGCCAAAAGAAACCACTATGACCGCGAAAACGATCGACTACATTTGAAAACCCGCCCCTCCACAAAGAGTTCACTGGCCTCACCTGTCCCGGCAGCAGTCTGGGTCCCAGCTCGCTCGCCGACTTCACCGGCAGGCAGTTATCCGGGGATCGGACGTGCCAGAGCAGGGTGCCGTAATAGATGAGCACCAGGAGAGCGGAGCTGACCGCGTGGCCCACACAGTAGGCCCAGATGGCGTGGGACGGGTACAGGGCAATCAGCCAGGCCTTGAGCGCCACCCGGCTGCACAGACTGACCATGTCGGCTACCACCTTGGGAGAGAGGGAGAGCGGATGGGTGAGAGGGAGAGAGTAAGTGGGTGAGAGAGAGAGAGAGAGAGAGAGAGAGAGAGAGAGAGAGAGAGAGAGAGAGAGAGAGAGAGAGAGAGAGAGAGAGAGAGAGAGAGAGAGAGAGAGAGTGGTGAGAGGGGATGGGGAGGGGCGAGAAGACGATAAGAGAGTCAGAGATCATCCACAGATGCCAGCAAGGTAGGGAGAATACAGTACTTCAACGCGGTGTCAACGATCGACGATCCGCAAACGGCTACCACAGCCGGCGATTCGAGCTTCGGATACAATTTCAATGAGGTAGCACAGTCATCGGAGAACCGACGCGCCTCAACTATTTTCCCCTAACACCCTGTTCCTCTCCTCTGCGTCACCCCACCGCCGTCATTCACCTTCAGTTTGACAAAGAGCATGGCCTGCGCCAGGATGACCAGCGGCTGGGCGGCCGTCTCCAGTACGACCATGGACGCGGTGACCCACACACCCAGACGGTACTCTGAGGTCACCTCGGGCGCCGGCTGGCTGAGCGCGTGCAGCCAGAGACCGGCCAGCGCCGCCGACACCGCCGCTGACACGGGCACGCTGACAGGGAGCGGAGCGTCAGTCAGAGGCGAACGCAGCACTGCTCTTTTTTAATACACTCAATTCACTGGCAATAAAACATTGCATACTTGAATGCCTATGATGATCCCCACATCTGAAGAAATAAACGTCATTTATCGAGGCAATGACCTTTTAAAACCACTACTACGCAACATAACTGTGCCGATTAGCTGCTACCCATTGACTGCCAGCCTCCACATTCCACAAAAACACCCGTTTTTGAAGTAGGTATATCGACAGTTTCCAGCAAGCACACACTAAGTGTCAAATTTTTGAAATTGAGATTTCTATACCATTCGACTCAGCTCGTCGAGCTGAGTCGAATGGTATGAAAAACTGAATTTCGAAAATTTGACACTTAGGATGTTCTTGCTGGAAACTGCTTCTCCCAACAGCTGTGACCATTTCGAGTTAAACTGATGTCCGGAGAGATGTACCTGAGCCACACCAAGTTGATGGCCTGGCGCCACTTGCTCCTCTCTGTCACGCCCAGCGCCGCCCGACGGAAAGCCTCCACACTGACAAAGGTGGCAGTCGAGTAGAGTAGAGCCAGCCTGGGAAGCAGAGCAGTCCTTCAGAATCTTTAACAGAGTTGATTTCCTGTAAAATTCCTCTTAAATAAAAAACTGAATGCCAGTCAAAAGGCAAAATGTAAGTAGATGCATGCTTATAAAGATAACAAGTACACACAGCAGTTGTGGTGACATAAAAGCATATGTTCTACTTAGGCTAAGGCAGTCAGACACAGTGGATGCATCACAAATGCATGATAGGAAAAAAGCAAAGGGTGCATACCTGACATTGATGATGCCCAGTACATCAGATGTAATATACCGGAGAATGACTGCATTTGTGATGAATGTGAACACT